TGACTACTCTGAACCTGATTAATATAAAATCCTTTATTTTAAAGGATTGACTACTCTGAACCTGATTAATATAAAATCCTTTATTTTAAAGGATTAACTACTCTGAATCTGATTAATATAAAATCCTTTATTTTAAAGGATTGAACTCTGAACCTGAATAGTATAAAATCCTTTATTTTAAAGGATTGAATTCTGAACCTGATTAATATAAAATCCCTTATTTTAAAGGATTGACTACTCTGAATCTGATTAATATAAAATCCTTTATTTTAAAGGATTGACTACTCTGAATCTGATTAATATAAAATCCTTTATTTCAAAGGATTGAACTCTGAATCTGATTAATATAAAATCCTTTATTTTAAAGGATTGAATTCTGAACCTGATTAATATAAAAGACTTTATTTTAAAGGATTGACTACTCTGAATCTGATTAATATAAAATCCTTTATTTTAAAGAATTGAACTCTGACCTTAATTAATAAAAAAGTCCTTTTTTTTGGAGAATTGAACTTTTGAACCAGATTAATATTCAAACCCTTTATTTTAAAGGATTGAACTTTTGAACCTGATGCTCCCCTCCGACTCAACTAATCCTGCAGTTCAAAGAATGGATCAACTAGCTAGAGAGTTTAATCTTACATTTCCTTTCCATCTTCCAGCTAATAGCAAGGTGATTAAATAGCTCAATTAATAGCTTAATTCACAAATGAATAAGTAAGTTATACTAATTGAAAAAAGTGAATTCATGAGTGATTAAATTTATGAATAAATTGGTGAAAAATAACTCAATTAATTGATAAATAGATAAGCAATAAATAGTTAAATAAATAATTGATAAATAGATAAGCAATAAAAAGTTAACTAAATAACTGATAAATAGATAAGCAATAAATAGTTAAATAAATAATTGATAAATAGATAATAAATTGTTTTAGATAAAAATAAGTTAATAGTTTGGTGAATATATAGAACATGGTTTTATATATTGAATAAATGAATAAATGAAATGTCAACGATTTAAATAGTGAATAAACAAATGAATAAATTTGTAAATAAAGTATGCATAAAAGGATAAATTAATAATAGAATAAATAAATAAACGAAAGTATGAAAGGATAAATTAATAATAGAATAAATAAATAAACGAAAGTATGAAAGGATAAATTAATAATAGAATAAACAAATAAACGAAAGTATGAAAGGATAAATTAATAATAAAAAAATAAATAAACGAAAGTATGAAAGGATAAACTAATAATAAAAAAATAAATAAATGAAAGTATGAAAGGATAAATTAATAATAGAATAAATAAATAAACGAAAGTATGAAAGGATGAATCAATAACTGAATACATTAATGAATAAATATTTAGGATGAGAGGAACTCCAGTAACCTGATCTGGGTTGTGTTGTTCAGTATGCTCTTCATCCTCTCCTTCCTATCCAACATCTCTCTCATCCTGGCTGTTCTATCCAACTCTAGGTATACACAGGGTGAAAAAACGAACAAAAACGAGATTTAAAAAAACAGTTTAAAAAAAAGAATAAAAAAAAAAAATCTATTAAAGAAGAATTAAAAAAAAGATACAAGAAGAAAGAGGGGGGGGGGAACTTGAAAAAATATCTTAACAAAAAGGAGAAGTAGGGTGTCCCACGAAGCACGAAAGTTATGAGTTAATTGAGAGAAGACGTTAAGGTCGCTGTTCATCTTTAAAATAATTTGCGGCATTGATTCGTAAACCTACTTTAAACATACAAAGTGTCCCACGAAACATGACAGTAGCAAGACGACTTGAACGTCGTCTTTGATTTTTGATATAATTTGCATTGATTCGTAAATCTACTTTTACATTAATAATTCTTCAAACAATAATCACAAAAAATTAATCTGCTTTTTTGTGGTTTTAGTATTTCCAGATCACAAAAAATGCTAGGGTATTTTGTGATTATTAATTCAAAGGATTTTTCTTCTAAAATCAGGTTTACAAATAAATACCCGAATTATTTCAAAAAGAAGAACTGAAACAAGTTATAATTCTTGTTTCTTGCAGTTTAACTATTTCTAGTTAAACTGCAATTCAAACTGCAAACTCAATTAGTTCTAACCTCAGGACTACAATTAGATGATTTTATTCATATTAATTTAAAATATTTGCCTATTCTGAATCTAGTAAGAGATATTCATCTCATCTTAATCTACTAGAAACCCGCTATAAATAATATTTTTTCTCATTTAGAGTTTGGGTTGAACTATTTGTTTTTATATTAACTATTTTGCATTTAAGCTGACAGAAGCTAATTTAAAATAGAGTGCTTAATCCAACCCTTGCTTAATACTTTTCAATTAAAACTCTTAATCTGATTTTATTTTAGAAAACGGACCGGGGTTCATCTAATTATTTGTTTACTGTTCCTTGTCAATCTAGTCGACTACGGTCTCCTCATTCTTGAGTTTTCAACAGGTTTGCATTAAATATTAAGATTTCGTGAAAATAACGCGACATAAGGGACTATTGTTGGTGTTGATGATTTTTGATGTATTTTTGATGTAACAAAGCTTTTTGGGGGTACCGTTGTGAATCGGACACGACACGATAAAAATGGGGAGACACTCGAAATCACGTGAACAGATCCTGTATAGTTAACAGATAATAATTCACATTTTCTGGATTGCGACTAGTTGAGTTAAAGTGATAACCAGAAAACTCTGGAATAGAAAGTCGACATTTAATTTTAAGTTATGACTTTAAATAGTCCACTGAACATGAGGCAGAGTAATTGAAAGACCCATTTCACTTAACAAATGATTTAATAACTAACTAGTGAAGTGTTTGGATTAACTTCAGTATTGCTTTAATGTCGTCTTCCTATTCTAAAGTTTTCTGGCTATCACTGTTTATAGCAAAAAAGAGAACGCAACTGTCCCTAATATATCTCATTAAAAAAATAAATTACTCTCTTCTTAATCCTCCGAACCTGAGAACGTTAAACCCCTGAAAAGGAATTGTGTATATCGATGATGGAACTCTTTTAATGATGTTTTTTCAATGCTCTGTCAAACTTAGATTTTCTTGAGTATAATTATACTTCTAGTTTTAAAATATATTTTTATTGAGATTGTAAACTTAGAAAATTTATAAGCCCTAAGTACAGTAAAAATTGTGGAATAAAAAAAAACTACTTTTAGTTTTTAAAAAAGTCCAAGGAACAGTAAACAGACCCACTTCAAGTAGGTTAATATTCAAGCTAGGGGTAAAACTATTAGTAATATAATGACATCAAATGCGAATAAAATTGCTTTTATGTTGTTTTCAGTTATACCACAGTTGAATGGGTTTCCCTAGGTGCGCATACAAAAAATCCCATAAAAATTTAACTATTTTTGTTTTGTTTTAGGTGTTAGTTCACATTTCCCCTGGGGAGAAGAAAGTTGTGCAGTTTATCAGTATTTTCTTCAATCTAATCCTTTATACTACTCTGCTCTACTTGTTCTACTGGTCTACCATGCTAGGTATGTACTGTACTGCAGTTTATCAGTATTTTCTTCAATCTAATCCTTTATACTACTCTGCTCTACTTGTTCTACTGGTCTACCATGCTAGGTATGTACTGTACTGCAGTTTATCACTGTAGTGTACTGTTTTTCGTACTGTATTGGACTGAACTTAACTGTACTAAACTGTCCTGTGCTATATTGCTACTATATTTCACTGGATATTGACATTGGACAAAGAAAACAAAGGACATTTACCGAATTGCTTTAGTAAGTATTATATTTTACTGCATGCAGGTCTAATTTGTGAATGTACTGCACTGTAAGTGTAATGTAGTGTACTGTGCTGTTCCTGTTCTTTTAGTTTGAAACCCCATGCCGAGTACCTTTCTAATATAGTGTACATTTGACAGTATACAAAGTATCTGAAGTCTAAAAAGGGGAGGAGTAGTTATTCTTTTTTGTTAAAAGTCAAAACCATTTAATATCCAAAGACGACATTAATATCTGGTATTCAGTAAACCTGCTGGTGGGCTAAACACTGTCTGGTGGAACCTAGTTCTCCTGGTTATCTTGGTTCTTCTGGTGTCCCTTCCTACAATCCTATACTCAGATACAGCAGTTTATCCTAGCGGAGCAAGGTTAGTTCTATTCTCCCTTCCTACAATCCTATACTCAGATACAGCAGTTTATCCTAGCGAAGCAAGGTTAGTTCTGTTCTCCCTTCCTACAATCCTTTACTCAGATACAGCAGTTTATCCTAGCGGAGAAAGGTTAGTTCTATTCTCCCTTCCTACAATCCTATACTCAGATACAGCAGTTTATCCTAGCGAAGCAAGGTTAGTTCTGTTCTCCCTTCCCACAATCCTATACTCAGATACAGTAGTCTATCCTAGCGGAGCAAGGTTAGTTCTAGTCTCCCTTCCTACAATCCTATATTCAGATACTTTGCAGTCTATCCTAGCGGAGCAAGGTTAGTTCTATTCTCCCTTCCTACAATCCTATACTCAGATACAGCAGTTTATCCTAGCGGAGCAAGGAATTAGTTCTATTCTCCCTTCCTACAATCCTATACTCGGATACAGCAGTCTATCCTAGCGGAGCAAGGTTAGATTTGTAGATTTTATTGAAGATAATTTTTTTTAAATAAACATTTTTTCTTCTCATTTCAGAATCAGGGCGCGCACGCATAAGTTCGCTATTGTGTATTGTGCAAAGGGTTTAAACCAAAACGCGAGCAAGACAAGGTTATTGTGCATAATGCCAGCAAATGCAATGTCTGACAAAATGCACACCTACCGTCTAATATCTGTTTGTCTGGGGTATATTTCATACAGTGTAAATGTCCAAATTGTCTGTCTAAGCGTTGTCAAGATAATTCCCCCATTTTCTTTTAAAGCTATAATTTTTTTTTTATAAAAGTAATATTATTTTACATGATTTCTGTCTACCTGTCTATCTGTGAATCTATCTATCTATCTGTCTATGTATGAATCTGTCTATCTATCTATCTTTCTATCTGTCTATCTATCTATCTGTCTATCTATGAATCTGTTTATTTATCTATCTGTCTATCTGTCTATCTGTCTATCTGTCTATCCGTGAATCTTTCTTTCTGTCTATCTGTCTATCTTTCTGTCTGTCTGTCTTTCTGTCTGTATATTTATCTGTCTATCTGTCTATCTGTCTATCTATCTATCTATCTGTATGTCTATCCGTCGATCTGTTTATCTGTATATCTGTCTATCCGTCTATCTGTCTATCCTTCTAAATGTCTATCTGACTATCTGTCTATCTGTCTACCTGTCTATCTATCTATCTGTCTATCTGTGAATCTTTCTTTTTGTCTTTCTGTCTGTCTGTCTGACTGTCCACCTGTCTGGCTGTTTATTTCCCAAGATCTGTATTTGGCTATCTCTGTATGTCCCTGCAAGTTTGCAAATGTCTGTGCAATATCCACGAAGATTTGCAAAATGCACCCGGTTCACTGACTGATGTTGCAAATGTAAAAAGGTTGCAAAATGAAGTTTTTCATGCGAGACGTTTCCACGCCTTCAGTCGTAAATATTTATAAAATATTGCAGTACGGGGGGCGGGGGCACAATACCCCCCCCCCACTTCGAGTTTGCCCCTGTAAAATGGTTTCATGAGAGAGCTAAACCTTGTACGAGTTTAATGCCACGATAATGGTTTAAGTTTCACATTTAAATTCCAATCAAATTTGACCTCGCGTCTGCAAACCACGTTGTGCCAATATTTTCGCATTGACAAAGAGTTTGATGGCACAAATTATTCTACCTTTAGGTTCAAGGATGGATACTATATATTGTATCGTCAATTTTCGAAGATTTTTGGATAAAATTGAAAATGGAGCTCTAAGTTTTAGTCCACAAAATTTAGCATTAAAAATTAAAAAAAAGAATTATGATTGCTAGCCTCAAACTCTAATTTTCTAAACCGTTCATCTTTACATCTACTCTCGTTGATGTTTCAAACAAAGTTTAAAACGATGAGGTTGCAAAAACGTTGGAATTAGCATAAAACAAATTTTGGAGATGTTTTAGATGTTCCTTTTAAAACACTTGATTTCGAATTTTTTATTATAACAAATTACTTACTTACTTACTTACTTACTTACTTACTTACTTACTTACTTACTTACTTACTTACTTCCTTAATTACTTACTTACTTACTTACTAACTTACTAACTTATTTACTTGCTTACTTACTTACTTACTTACTTACTTACTTTCTTATGGGGGATGGAGGAGGAGGAACCGATTACTCGTCACAAACTCTGATTTTATTAACCCTACTACAACTTTGATGTTTCATGGTTAGAATATTTGATCTACAGGGTGTCCCACGTAACGACTTAGAGGAAAAATGTAATGAATATGAATATAATTTGTTGTATTTATTTGTCAACCTAATTTCAGAAGTAAAACAACCCTAGTCCTGGCATTTACAAAATGTGGTCTGCCTTTTAGAAATATTATGATTTTTTCGAAAATAATTCTATGGATTCGAAAATCTTAGAAAAATCCAGTTTACATTACACCATTACATTTTCCTTCAAAAATCAAACAACAATTTTTGCCTATTTCTATTTTTATTTTTTTTATTTCTTACACACTTGTATTTTTAAATGAGAAAAAATTCTTTGTCAACACCAAGGTTCCAATGCATTATAACCTTGATTGGTGGATTTTAAACATACTCAGTAATATTGAGGCAGAGTTTTGTTTCTATTTTTTTACATTACAATTGATCGTTTTTGATCGGTTTTAATATAATTTACGGCCTGTTAGGTTAACTTAATTTTTGGGACATATATAAATACCATTTTAGTTCCAAAATAATATCTTCTTGTTACAAAAATTTAATTTATTCGTGAGACAGGTTTATAGTTTTCCCCTTTCCACAACAAATAAAAGTGTTAACAAAATATTTCTAAATATATTTATATCTATCAGAGTCCTTGTTCCGTCAGCTCACAAATATATTTATATCTAAATCCTTGTTCCGTCAGCTATATCTAAATCCTTGTTCCGTCAGCTCACAAATATATTTATATCTAAATCCTTGTTCCGTCAGCTCACAAATATATTTATATCTAAAAATAGGGTCCTTGTTCCGTCAGCTCACAAATATATTTATATCTAAAAACAGGGTCCTTGTTCCGTCAGCTCACAAATATATTTATATCTAAAAACAGGGTCCTTGTTCCGTCAGCTCACAAATATATTTTTATCTATAATCAAAGTTCTTGTTCCGTCAGCTCACAAATTTTTCGGTAAAAAACGAAACTGTGAGTTTGCACGGAAGTTAGACCAATCAAATGTAGTATATATAACTTTAATTTTGAAAAATAAATAAAGACGTTTACGATACTTTTTAAAGAGAAATATTTTTTTAATTAGTTGAATTTTTCAATTTAAAATAAGTACAGAATATGTTACAGAAATATTAAAGAAGAATCATTGTGTAGGGGATAATTTAAAAAAATTACATCAATATATCTGATAATTTGATAATTTGCGTATTAAACGAGTAATAAGTTCCTTAAAAAATGAAATCAAATGTTTTGTAACTTTTTAAATTCTAAATACTAATCTCAAGCATATGGTTAATTAAGATATTAAGTAAAACAACGCGTAGTAAAATTCTTTTATTTGATAGAACTTAACAACTTTTTTAATTGATACCAACTGTGTCAAAATCTGAGGAAATGGAACGATCTGGAACAATTGAGATTTAGGAACAGTTGTAAGTGAACAGAAACATTGGATAGTAATTAAAACTGTATGTTTCGAAATCATCCACAAGAATGTCTACCCTAACATAGCGTTCATTGTTAAGACCAATAATTTTTGCCTCGGTGTTTGCGGGAACATGACAATCAGATGTGAGAAACTCCGTTCTTCTCAGCTTAGTTCCAACCTTAAACTTATCCAATGGTTGATTGTCCTTACAGGGGGTAGAGTTACAGTTGGAGCAAATAGGTTCCTGCTCAATTATCTCAGGCTGTGGCTCGACAGGAACTGAATCCCAGGACTCCTCCTCAGGATCTTCTTTCCTCTCCGTCTCTTCTTTCCTCTCCGTCTCTTTTTCCATCTCTGCTGCAGCTTTACTATCGGCAGCGTCTTTTAGTTTCTTTAAGTCAGATAAACCCCATAGGACCGGGTCTTGCTTCATGAACTCCCAAATACGAATCAAATCATTTGGAGGTATTTCATCGAAAGAAGAGATGTTTTTGAGTGTTTTATAACATTTCTCCTGGACGATTTTCACCAAATCCTCGAAAATGAATTTGGTCTCGTATTCTTGCAGAACCTCAAGGCAGTAGGCAAGCTTTGTTGGAGGAACTTCCACAAAGCTATTCATTAGATTCCTAATCCCCCGGACCTGATAGGTAGCCCCTAAACCATAGATCTCAAACAGAACTTTCAAATCATTGATACTTTTAATATCATTCTCCTCCCCGCTGTACAGGAACTTGATGAAGGCTCTGAAACTGTTGAAGGACGGACCACGGACCTCTATGGTGTTCTCCTTCATGTTGAGGAACTGCCTCTTGAGAACGGGGGAAAGAAGGCCCAGCAGGAATTGATGTCCTTTCACAGACTTCGTCTCGGTCTTGGTGTCAACAGAGTTGAAGATTTTAAATTCAACATTAGAATCATTTTCAGATTCAAACAGTTTGGCGAAATTATAGTTTTTTAATGTACTCTGAGTACTTAGCATTTTAGAAAATATTTATATAGAATAGTATTGAAGGTTGAATGAAGACTGAAGAGGTGTTGAGTGAATATACTGAAGGTTAAAATAGAATCCCTAGATGGTAAACCTAGTGTGCAGTTGACCGCACGGCTCTACCTTCCCCCTGACCCTCCACTATCCACCCCATTGTTCGCAGACACACCAGCAGTGCACCTCCCCTGCTACTCCCCCCCCCTTATCGCCATATTCCTTCACTGGTTAGGGTGCCCCTAAAAAAAAAACATTAACTCTGTAGTTTGCTGACNCCCTTTAGTTTGCAAACACACCAGCATTGCACCCCCTGCTCCTGCTATAACCTAACCTCCCCCCCTTTATCGCCATATTCCTTCTCTAGCTAGGGTGCCCCATATAACACAAATCATCCAGCTCCTGAGCAAATAAAAAATAAATTATCCGGATCCGGAGCAAAGTAACTAGATATCATCCGGATATAGCGTAAGAAAATCAGCAGGATCCAGAGCAAAGAAAAAAAGAAATCATCCGGATTTAGAGCAAAGAAACTAGAAATCATCCAGATCGGGAGAAAAAAAATTATCCTACTCTGGCGTAATAAGGTATATAAAACTAATGGTATAATAGGTACATAAAACAAATAGTATCCTCCAACCTGTTCATGAGTGCAGTAAAGCAAATATAAGCATGGGATTCCTCAACCATTATTACAAGGATAGGAGACGCTAGGTCCGACATCCCCTAAATAAGGATGAAGATAATAATAAAAATAATTATGAGAATGATAATAATCACCATGATCAAAATTGTGGCGTAGATGATAATGACAATAGTGACGATAATATGGTTAATCATATTGAAATGATGATAATAATGGTGACAATTATAAAAATGGTGGTAATAATAAAATTGATATTATTAATAACAATGAAGATAATATGGATGAAAATATCAATGACAATGATGATGATTTAATGATGATAATGAGGATCATAATGATTATGATAATGGCGATGGTAATGATAATAAAAACGAAGATACAAATGGTAATAATTATCATGAAAATATTGATGATGATAAGGTGATGATAAGAATGATGATAAGGATGATGATAAGGATTATAGTAATGAAGATAAAAATGGTAATAATAATGATGGAAATGATGGTAATGATAATGAAAATGATGATGATAAGGATGATCATAATGATTATGATAATGACGATTGTAATGATAATAAAAACGAAGATACAAATGGTAATAATTATGATGAAAATATTGATGATGATAATGATGCTGATAATGATGATGATGATAAGGATGATAGTAATAATGAAGATAAAAATGGTAAAAATATTCATGGTAATGATGAGGTAATGATGATGAAAATGATGATGATAAGGATGATAATGAGGATCATAATGATTATGATAATGACGATTGTAATGATAATAAAAACGAAGATACAAATGGTAATAATTATGATGAAAATATTGATAAAAATATTGATGATGATAATGATGATGATGATAAGGATGAAGATAAGGATGATAGTAATAATGAAGATAAAAATGGTAAAAGTATTCATGGTAATGATGAGGTAATGATGATGAAAATGATGATGATAAGGATGATCATAATGATTATGATAATTATGATCATAATGTTTATGATAATGATGATAATAATGAAGATAATAATGATGATAATAATGATAATAATTATGATGGTAATGATGATAATGATGATAATAATGACCAAGATGACAGTGATGATTATGCAAATGATAATGATTACAATAATTCCAGTACTGACAACTTTAAAGTAAATAATGATAGTAATGATTAAAATGATGACAATAAGGACAATGATGACTAGGATAATAATGAACTCTACCTGACAATAGCTGACACTAGGATGATTAAGAGCGTATGTTGTGAGAATATTAAACAACGACGTCACATTATGATTACCCTCCCCAGCATAGAAGGGGTGCTGACGATCCGTCCGAAGAACATCCTTCCGGACCATGTTGATCACGGTCTTTACATCGTCAGTGATTCGACCCTGGACCACCAGATTTAACAAATAGCAAGAGGCTAGGTAGTTGACCATAAAGACCTTCAGTGCTGGGCGAATATATCAATACAATGAAGACGACTTCTTGTTAATAATGCTTGTTAAAGATTGGTAAAAATTAAAATAGAAAGTCGTCTTTTATTGTATTGATATGTATGACGACAACTGTAGTTGAACCCCTTTCCTTGTGCGTGGAAGATCAAACGGAGAAAAAGTGTTTCAATTCAATCTAAATGATTCAACTACTTCTTCTGTTCATTAAACGTAAGAATATGTCTACCATCTAATTTATGAAAATCTATTTTTTTTAAATCATAAAAACTGGTCCCTGAAGAACCAAGTCCATCCAGTCTGATTTGAGCTGGGAATATCCAGCAGACAGTTCACGGAGATGTCTGCAGAAAAAAAATTGTTCAGATTTACATATTTATTAAAGATCTAATGTTAATTCATTTTAGTACAAAACTTCCTGTTGAAAATTGTGGTTGCAAAGTTAGAACAATTTTTGAATAAATAATCAATATTTTTTTCTTACTTTTAAAATTATTTTAAAAATTAGTGAGAGTAGTCATTCGGGTTCACGATTAATTTCAGTAAAAAACTTTTTCTAAAATTTTCCCTGATACGTTCTCCACCCGTCATCCCGGCAGGATATACGTTTAGTAGATGCTTCCAACCTATCTTCCTGTTTACAAACAACTTGATTAGTGTACTGCACAGGGCTAAAGAGACAGTGCATCATTTTTGGAATTGGTTTGTAAGGGGGTGTTGGCGACATCTACATTTTATAATTCTCAGTGATATTAAAATTAGAAAAAAAAATAGATTAATGCTATGTCATTTAAAAACTTCTTCGGTCAAGTTTTTAAGTTGTTTAAAGGATTCAAAATACACCTGAACTTATAAAAATAATTAATTCAAACTTTAAAAAAAGCGTTTTATCATTTTGTCGGAAAAAATTCAAAATTAAATTGATCCAACGATTTAAAACTCGCAATCAATAAGCGATGAGAATATTGCCATTTAATTCTAAAATACTAAGGCTATAAGCGGGTGATTAAATTTTAAATAGTACATGTCTAGGGCTACAAAAAGTATACGCGAGTAAGTGCAATAATAAGGCCCAAGGCGTTGCGACCCAGTCTTAATAATTGATGCAAGTTTCCATGTCTGTTCCGATCTATATGAAGTATTATGATTTAGTTGTATGTCCCTGAGGCTTGGTTCTAGGCCCCCTCTGTACACTGCGAGACGGAATTCTCGAGGAGACACCATCTGTCCAACCTAAAGTATTATTCTTATCATCGTTATCATCATCATCATCGTTATTAGTATTAACAAGGTTATCAATATTATCCTTGATATTATAATCGATCATCCATGGTGAGATCATTACTATTATCGTTATCATCGTTATCATTGTTATCAAATTGGTTTTACTGTTATTAAACTTTTATTACCGCTAATCCTACAACTTCTTTAAAACTTATGGTGAAGTCATTTTTCCAAATAATTTTTAACTTTGATGAATTTGGGATAATGACCTAATGACCTAATGACCTAATGACCTAATTATCACTGAATTTACGCTAAATTCTGTTACAATGGGTCAACCACATTCATGGTACACACTAGACAGGCTGGTACACACTAGACAGGCTGGTACACACTAGACAGGCTGGTACACACTTCATTGTATCTGTAATTGTTATCAAACGTAACTTTTATACAGTAGGGATATCCAAAAAAGAGGATTAAGAATAAAATCAAAAGTGTGTACATTGGATACTCAGATTAAGCGATCAGGATTAAGGATATCTCATTCTAAAGTTTTTAGCTCAGATCATAAAACTTTTAAACTGATGCGGTTACCTTATTTAAGAATGTTCTGAAGTGTGCATCTGTTACTGGAGGTACAGTCGGTTCTTCATTCCTCTCCTAAAAACAGAAACATATTTCGGAGACAATTCTACATAGTATATATGAAAGGGAGTGTTGGCGACAAACAAAATCGGGGTTGGGCTGAATTCTTTTAAAATTCGGAAATAAGGAAAAAATTTATTGAAAACGCTTAATTCCCAAGTGCGAAGAGCCCATGTAATTTCACTTATTTTTGTTATTCCACTCAACCCATGAATTTATTTCAATTTAAAACTAATCATTTAGATATTGTACTACATCAATTTCGGATTTGATTAGGGGTTTTCCAATGTAACTAATATTTCATTACATTTTTTATTTTTTAGGTTCCGATTGTAACTTATAAGAATATTCAATCCAGCAATATCGAGAATTTCACAAATGAAAGACGACATTGTAGCTAAGGTATTTAAAGTCCTGCTTACCTCTAAATCTATGTTAAGAGCAGTTCTCATCTTAGAAGCAAGTCCTGGAAGTGTGTTCTCATAGTGTCGTTTAAAGAAACCACTAGCCTGGACACTTGACTTAGATACCAGACCTTGTAATCCAGATACCTAGTCAATTATCATCATCGTCATCGTCATTATCTTTATCATTACCATCATTTTCATTAGTATCATTAATATTATCAGTAACCCTTCAATCAGTGAAATATTGGTCGAGGGAATTATGATGCAGAGATAAAGAAGAATATTAACTCATTTAACATGGTTTAAGCTAGAAAAAAAGTTGACATCTTTATAACCCATGATCAGACAAAGGGAACGTTGTGAATTACTCTATAGACATTGAACATGGAACTCTACAAATAAAGGTCACTTAAAATTATGTCTACCGTCCCTTTCTTAGATTGAAAAATATTGGACCAACCTGAACAGCTCCTGCAGCTTTTGCATTAGCAGCTACTTCTTGTAAGCTTCTCTGAACAGGCTGCAGCTCCTTAGCTATAGACTGTCCATACTCCAAAACAGGACTCACTATCCTAAAACAGACAGGGGTAATGAGTATACATTATTTTTTTGAGGATTTTAAGTCTTCAGAGTTATTTGTGGATTAGTAATTTTTAACTTGTAGAAAAATTAGTAACAGGTTTAAGATATAAAAAGTAGCATAAATGGAGGGTCACTTTTATATTATGATTCTTACCCTTTCTCCATAGACGAGATCTCTCCAAGAGAACCGGTTTCTAACAGTTTCACCTGCAGCTGTAAACCATAATCAGCTGATCCTATACAATAAACATCAGAGCAGCCATCTTGGAGTACACAAATATGGAATACAAGAGATAAGGAAAGTTCGACAAAGTAGTTTATTACGAAACCTCTTACCCCATCATCATTAACCTTTAAGTCCTAAATCAGAGAAGGTATGGAAATCAACTAAAAGGGTAGCTATCCATTAGTTTTTTATAAAACTATCAAGTAGTTTAGCACAGCACCTTTTGCCCCATCTCAATCGACCTTCATGTCCAATACCAGAACAGCTATCATTAAAAGAGTCCGGAAATAAGAAATGCTATAGATAAGATTCATATTCGTACTATGAAAATCAACAAAGGGTAGCTAACAAAATTATCGAGTAGTTGAGTTTTAGATGGAGCCCCCTCCCTTCCTTAACTGCCCACACAGCCACGCCTACCAAATATCAAAGCCATGGGTCAACTATCTATAGTACAGTGGTCTGCGATTATATTAATACAATGACGATGGATTTTCTATTTAAATTCTGTTTTTCAATAAGCTTTTTTTTTAATTATTCACAAAGAGAAGCTGCCATTGGATAACTTCTCTTGGTTCACATGTTTATGTGTATCCATACTATTTGAAACCTTGGTAAAAATCCATAATTGAAATTGAAAGGCATCTTCATTTTGTTGAAATATACGACAGAAATCGTAATTTTTTTAATAAGTTGTGAGTTCTATCCTGTTCTTCCGTCCTATCCTTTTTCTCCCTTCCTATCCTGTTCATCCGTCCTACCCTGTTCTCCCGTCCTACCCTGTTCTCTCGTCCTACCCTGTTCTCCCGTCCTACCCTCATAACCCATCCTATCCTGTTCTCCCGTCCTACCCTCATTACCCGTTCTATCCTGTTCTCCCATCCTACCCTCATTACCCGTCCTATCCTGTTCTCCTGTCCTATCCTGTTCTCCCGTCCCTTATATGACAATTATTAACGATAAAGCGACTGGTACAGTGGTTTGAATTCAAGGATTGAAGTTCTTGTTCAGTGCTCCAAAGTGTTGTTAAAGAGAAGTTCTTAGTTTTACACATAACTAAAATTTCCACCTCTTTATAGTAAACATACTCTATTTGTTTACTCCTAGGGAAAGTAAATAAATTAAGAGAGCAAGAAAAACCTTTCACCTTGCTCATGCATTCATTCAATGCTCAGAGATGGCCATCATACATTTTATGGCTATTTGTTACTTGAAGGTGAAGAATATGAGAAGTTAATAATATTTTAATATTGTATGCTCTTTAAGTTTCCTTTTATTAAACTGCAACAAAATTTTAACTCTAACATAAGTATATAATTTTCCCGCATTTGTGGCCTTTTATATTTTTTTGAGCAGGCATTTTGTGCCATGTAATTAAAACAAACTTTTTCTGGTAACAAATTTGAGATTTTTGATAAATGTTAAATATCATCAACTCAAAAAACCTTGAATGTATAAAATCTTTGCCCATCTCTAATGAACTCTTTGCTGGATATCGTCAATTAGTAACTTAACACCAAACACTGGTCTCCACAATGTACATTGTATTATTATACTTTTGCAACTTTCTGACAGATTTGGTCTGTAAGAGGAACGATGCAAAAGTTTTTCATTTCTGTATTTAAGTCCCAATGTTAAACATACGATTTCTGTATCTAAATCCCAATATCTACCCTATGATTTCTGTATTGTATTCCCAATATTTAACCTAAGAATGCTGTATTCAAGTCCTAATAGCTAATTTTAGATTACTTTATCTACTATCTATGTCCAAATATTTAACCTAATATTGCTGTATCTAAGCCCCAATACCAAACCTAAGATTGCTGTGTCTAATATCTAACCTAAGATTGCTGTGTCTAATATCTAACCTAAGATTGCTGTATCTAATTTCTAACCTAGGATTGATGTATTTAATATCTAACCTAGATTGCTGTGTCAAATGTCTAACCTAAGATTGCTGTATTTAATATCTAACCTAAGATTGCTGTATTTAATATCTAACCTAAGATTGCTGTGTCTAATATCTAACCTAAGATTGCTGTGTCTAATGTCTAACCAAAGAATGCTGTGTCTAATATATTAGACACAGCATTCTTAGGTTAGACATTAGACATTAGATATATCTAACCTAAGATTGCTGTATCTAATATCTAACCTAAGATTGTTTTATCTAATATCTAACTTAAGATTGCTGTATCTAATATCTAACCTAAGATGGCTGTATCTAATGTCTAACCTAAGATTGCTGTGTCTAATATCTATCCTAAGATTGCTGTATTTAATATTTAACCTAAGATTGCTGTATCTAATATCTAACCTAAGATTGCTGTATTTAATATCTAACCTAAGATTGCTGTATTTAATATCTAACCTAAGAGTGCTGTATTTAATATCTAACCTAAGAGTGCTGTATTTAATATCTAACCTAAGATTGCTGTGTCTAAGTCCCAGTCGGAGAGTAGTGGCGTCCAAACTTCTTTTCCAGTTCTCCTGGTAGATATTATTTGATCTAATTTATCAAATACGTAATATTGATATCCCCGTTCAGTGTTAAGGATCAGGATTTATTAAACCCACACATTTTGACTCTAAGGATCCGTGTACAGTACATATACAGATACATGGATATTAATCCAAGTTGGAAAACATAAACATAAAATAAAAACATAATTTAGTCCTTAAATAAAGTTGTAGAACAACTAGTACAACTAGACCAAGGAATTATTGGCATGGACTGTAGACACAAAATCAGGTGACCCTCCCTTTAAGGAGTGACAAGGCTGATTTACAATGGAGACTTCTAAACCCTTGAGAGAAAAAAGAGTGAATTATCCTCGTTTTTCCACCTTAAAATTAATTATTTTCGGTGGAAGTTCTCTAGAGAAGCGATCTGCCGAATTATTTAGTAAATAGAAGGAAAGACATCGAAAGAACGTCCACCTAACATAACTTCCCTACAGTCGTCATAGAGTTCTTATCCTTTACTACATAAATATAAACAATAAATATATATGTATAAAATAAGGAAAAAGATAACATAACTTCCCTACAGTCGTCATAGAGTTCTTATCCTTTGCTACATAAATATAAACAATAAATATATATGTATAAAATAAGGACAAAGATAACATAACTTCCCTACAGTCGTCATAGAGTTCTTATCCTTTACTACATAAACATAAACAATAAATATATATGTATAAAATAAGGAAAAAGATAACATAACTTCCCTACAGTCGTCATAGAGTTCTTATCCTTTGCTACATAAATATAAACAAAAACTGAAAGTACAGATTGTTCCATGTTAAAATCTGTAAAAAATAATATCCCTGTCACTATGAAGATAGTTGATGCTTATGTCCCCTGAAGGTAACTCAAATGCTCTAAAAAATATCATCAAATCATAAATTTTTCTGCAGTAATAATAAATATTAACAAATTTTATCAAAACATAGTACATTGTCATTTACATAAAACTACTGCAGTAGGAGGGCTTTGATAGCTTAGAACTGTATTCACAAAGCCCTTCTGTAATCCCCAAGATTTAATAATTTTGTTGAAGAAATGGAACCATCTTCAAAAGAAAGGGAAGGGAGGGGGGTGATTGTTAAAGATGATTTATAAACCACTGCATTTTATTCTTATTTTTTTTTTTAAATTTCACCTGCAAAGTATACTCTGAAGAACTTCAAAGGAAGTAATATTAGGATCAACACTGAACTTCCTGCATTCTTCCGGTTCTATATCCATCCGCCGAGCCTTTGGAAAAAAGCAATGCTTAGGATCCATTTAATTAGATTTGAAAGTTTTAACTTTAAAATGTATCTTTCATTTCATTGATTTTTGAGAGCAAAAAAGGTTAAAATTTTCCTCTTTAATCCATGACAAAAAATGTTTCGGATCCAACGGATCTGAAAAAAGCAATAAAAGTGGGAGCTTCTTGAAAAGAACCAAAAAGCTGTGGACTAGAAAGACGACTTTTAGACCCAAGTTATGATTATAGTCTAGGGACATGAGTGTACAGTGTACAGTGTACACGGACCCATTTTCAAGCTATTATTGGATTAACTATTTTTTTTCTTCTGTCAAATACAATTTAAAGAGTGCTTTTATGCAGTTTGCTGGCTTCAATGTACATTGTACATAAATAGTCTGAATGTATGTGTGTATGTAAGAGCCGGCAAAAATGTAACAAAATACACCCCTTCTATTGGGAAACATAGGATTTCACTCCGATAGAAGATATCAGGCGAGAAATAACTAACCATTCATTTGATAAAATTCTTAGAAGAAAAAACACAAATACCAATTAGCATAATGCAAAATTTCATATCAGTCTTAGTTAGAAGAACTTGGAAAACGAGTCCTAACTTTAATGAAAAGAATCAGATAGGGCAGTTGGACTCACTGTGTTCTTGCCAGGCTACATTTGTTGCATAAAACATGCTGGGTTGACTCCACACTGGGTAGTCCAGACTGAACAGTACAACGGAATGCATATACAGTACATGATGTACCGGCACTGGGTAGTCCAGACTGAACAGTACAACGGAATACATATACAGTAAATGATTTACCGGCTCGGATTCGGATCATGCAACTTTTAAAGTAATCTAGAACAACAACATTAGCAAAGCTTAAGTTTAGTCCTAAATTTTTTTTAAAAAGACTAGAACAAGGGACTAGAGCATTGAGCATGTCAAAACTAATAAATTTTTATCTTCTCGAGTCTTCCAGGCACCCTTTTAACTATATATTCGCAAGCGCTGTATAACATTTTTTACACAAATAGTAAGCACAGGCCATATGAGCGAGGGAAGAACACACAGTTTTTCTTCTTTACCACAAATAACGTCACAACTCGCCATCATTTCCTACGGCCACACCTTTTTTAGAAAGGGCTTCTATGCTTTCTAATATAATTTTATCATGCATTATATAACACTTGTTTTCTTCAAATTTATAATTTAATATGGGTTAATTTTGTGGAAAATGCATTTAGTTTTAAAAATAATACGATATTTAGGCCAGATATTTAGGCAAAGAAAAATATGCGTGCATTACCTTTTTTTTCGCCCAGACCACACCTATTTTTTCTTATTTTACTCCTATACTGCAACTTTGAGGTTACATTAGTCTTGATTTTCTTGAGGGCTTAAAAATAAAAATTTCCGTGAATTGTTTTATGCTTACTGTACCTTCATGTGATGTTCTTCTTAAAAAAAAACGGGATAAACTATATAAAAACCATTATCAACAACATGAAGCGACTCAAATTTTGAATATAATAATATAAGTACTAAAAAAGGATTTGAACAATAACCAACGAAATAAAGGTGTGGTTGAACGAAATAATTGTTAATTTTGCATCATTAGTGGTCGGAGGAAAAAATTGTGTGGTGTGCCTTCCCTCCCTCAACATATTATATGTATAGCGCATGAAATCGAAAAAAATTAGTTTTTTTCATGAAGTTTCTAACTTGAAAATGTATGAAGCGAGAAAACAACGTATGAGGGAGATTTACACCCTTCAAACACGTCTCAAAAAAACTAAAGCCGGAAAATTTATAGGGACCGTTCACTTATTTGGGTAATTTCAGGGTAAACTAAACAGCCTATTCGCTCTTGATTGGTAATAGTCTTACTTTTCAAAGACAACTGTGGCCGGAGAAAAAACCGATTTCTCGTTCAGAATTCGAGCGCAAAGGGACGGTCCCTCTCTATAGACACTAATTGATGTTTTTTTTCAGTATGTTGTGAATCAAAATAAATTTCGAATATAAAATTAAACTGTAGTATCTGATCGTTAATTGTAAATGTCATTATTTTTTAAGTTTTGTTGTTTTTTAACTTTCTATTTCTAAAATAACACTATTTGATCGCATTCAAAATTGTGTATTGCCTGTGTAAAAAGCTGAATTGAACGCGGCATGACAAATGAAAAGTTGTGCACATACGCGAACAAAATCTACAAAATCTACGAACCAAAATACGAGTAATGATTAATTGATTGTCGTAGAGACGTCGTCTTTGTATACATATTTTACATGTTTTAATACGAAAAACGTAAACTTCTTGCTAACTCAAATATCAAAAGTTTTCATATTTCAGTTCATAACAACGATCACATAATGACATTAAAATATAATAAATTTAAATGTTATTGGGCTGCTGTTACTGAAAAAAAAACATCAAATAGTGTCTATAGAGAGGGACCGTCCCTTTGCGCTCAAATTCTGAACGAAAAATCGGCTTTTTCTCCGGCCACAGTTGTCTTTGAAAACTAAGACTATTACCAATCAACAGCGAATAGGCAGTTCAGTTTACTCTGAAATTACCCAAATAAGTGAACGGTCCCTTTAAATTTGAAAAAAGAGAATTCCTCCCGATAATATATTCTCATTTAACCGATGTTCCTTTGGTGGTGAAAGTCAGAAGATTGATTGAACCAATGAGAGGTCAAGAAGTGCTGATTAGGTAATTTTTACATTTAAATTATAACACATTTTTAATAACACATATTTAGAATTCAGATTTTAGGAAAAACCTTGTCATAAAACGATAAAAATACTTTGGTCAGTTTCCTCTAGGTCAGATGGCGGGTACTCACATGCCAGTTTTTTCATGGTACTCTTAGTAATAAAAATAGACAATATAATGCCAATCGTTGTATACATGTTCATTGTACATCCATACAAGTACAATGTAGATAAGTTTTCCACAAATTGAAAGAACTACTAAAATTACTGTGGAAGAGAAAGACGACATTAAACATTAGATAAGCTTTTTTTGATGTTTTAATAATTGAAATAGTTTTACCAGAAGCTTGCAAGTCAAATATAAAGTGATATCGGAACTGTGTAAACTGAACACTGCCATGTGTTTAATGTTTATTATTATTATTAAAGGACAACCCAGCATTCAATGAAATAGGGGTCGGCGCTCCTAGCCGCCGAAACGTATCCATGGGCTGACCGAGTGGTGTCATCGTAGGGAGAAGACTTATACTAGGTGAACCCAGGGGCGGATACAGGATTTAAGTGAAGGGGGGGGGGGCAAGATTTTTTAGGAACAAAAAAATTCATAATTAAGAACAAAAAATCGCGCTGCAGGCGACAATTTTTTTTTACTCAAAAGACTCAAAAATAGTCAAAATTAATGACTAAAGACTAAAAAACTAGATTTTTAACTTTTCACACATTATAGTTTATTAAGACAGATATTTTTCGTGTTTTGCACTAGGGTTTCTATCCCTTGAGCATGCTATTGAGAAGCTATTCTGAAAATAGGAACAAAAAATTCCAAATTCAGGGAGGGGGGGCTACGCCCCTCCCTGAATCTGTCAGGGGGTGGCGAATGTCCCCCCGCCCCCCCTGTATCCGCCGCTGGGGTGAGCCGCACAAAACAGCAGCATTTCTGGAGACTCTCTAAAAGCCAGGCGGCCCACCCAATTTATAAGACAATCTAAAATCATAACTTGAGTCTAGTCACTAGTCTTCCTCTTCCAAATATTTATAGGTCTCCCTGCAAATTTAATTGCTTATAACCATAAACAGGAATGTTAATTTCCATCTCAAATCAGAAGTGATTAGAATAAAAATACAGTATTAATCATCTCTTTTAAGTCCTGAATTACATTGAATTACCTTGATTCTAATGGCCTCTCTTTCATACTCAAACAAGCTTGCCATTTTGATTCTGTTTACTGTGTCCACTATGACCTCTGTACACAATGAATTGTGTACACTGTACTACTATATTGGTTAGTAGAATCTAACTACATTTGTGTTAATCAAATATTACAGCAGGTCAATATTGTCATTTATTGTCACAGGTTATATTAATTTCTTTTCTTCACTTTAGTCTTGGGAAATTTCCATCAAAGATTTTTGAATCTGAGTCGCAATATCTAAAATTATTTTTATTCAGTTTATCCAGATTTCATAGATGCATAACAATTTAAATACATGCAAAAGAAACTTTTTGACTTAGTAATGATGTTATTTTTAGATTTCTTATCTATCCAATAAATATGAGTATGAGTATAACATCATATGTACACTGGAAACAAATTATTCAATAAAAATTTCTTAAATTATGTCTTCCAACTTTAAAACTAAATTATTACACAATAGACTCCCTGATACAATGCGTTCCTAGTTTCAGGATAGGAATGTATCAAATAAAATTACATATCTCTTCATTCACGCTAATCTTTTAACGCTTGATCTAGATATTCAATGTTGGCACTTTTAAATTAAAGTGACCACTGCAGAGTTTGACCATCACGGGAAACCGAAAAGAAATTAAATTAATCCGTGGGTCTGATTTAATGTATACCACAGCAAAATAAGAACCTATAATCAAAAGAAAGTTTATGAATAATTAAAATGAATAAAATATTTTCCTATAGTATCAGGTCCATCAGAGATAACCCAACCTTCATCAGCACTATCAAGCTTCTCCCTACAATACAATATAGTACAGAATTAAGTACAGAACAGTGCTAATCATTTACAACTACTTTAAAGGGAAGTTAAGGGAAAATTACTTAACCAAGGGTTCCCTCGACCAATTTTAGAGGGAACCCGTGCTCATGTAATAATTCGAATTTCCCAAAAAGTAGTTGTTCACAATTTTAAAGTCTTTTGAGATGCAAATGCGCGAATTTTTTCATGAAAACTTTGCAGAGGGGGTGGCTTTTTTACTTATAATTGTCCCAAGGGACGTTCAGTAATATTACGTCTCTCTGTTAGAGGGATCATGGGTCGGTCAAAATCCGGTAAAATACATTATTTCCCGCAAATGTATGGTGGTAGGCGATTCTATCAATAAAAAGAAGACGACTTTACATCAAGCGTTTAAACAGCATGGTTACACAAAAACATGGAAACAAAGAGAGGCTGTCAATTCAAAAAGCTTCTATTTATTTACTTTCAAACGTGTAATTCGAAAAAAGCTTTGCATTTGCATTTACATTTGATTCTGAAAAAAAACATGAAGGTAAAACGAAAAAAACGAACCAACTTAATGCACATCACTACTTGCACATTGTACATTAAATAAATAAATAAATAAAAGATCAACCATCATTAAATGTACAATCTTAAAACTGTTGGTTTACTAACCTGCAGACAGGGCAGGTTTTATGGTTTACGTTCCACTGCTGAATACACTGGGTACAGTACGCATGCGCACAGGGTAGAATAGTATCCGGCTTCCTGGAAACAAATTTTTTTTCAAAATTTTACTGAAGAATAAAAAATGAGAAAAACGAAAATTTGGAACATATTAAAGCAAAGTAAAAATGAAAATCATTATCTGAAAACTGGATAATCAAATATTTTTGTATTTGAAACCAACGACTAATTTGTATCTGGGATGATCCAATAAACATGATCTTCTTGCTTTAATTAAAAATTAATATCGACCATTTTCGTGAAAGGACATATATTAAATGAGAAAAATCTGTTTTAAAAAAATTTTCAATCTAAAGGGATATTTATTATCTAGTAGTAATATAAAAAAAAATAGGCTTTTAGGACGCTTTGCGCCCTGCTTCTATTTCAACTTTTTACTGTGGCTTTATCTGTGAGCATCTTCTTTTTGTATAGTATAAAAACAAAAACAAAAAAAGTTTGCGGATTTCATAATATTTTTTCCCAAATTTTAAAAATTTTACAAAAATAAAAACTTTAATATTTTCAATTTTTATCATTCATAACCTTCCCTGGGGTCACTTTAGGTCCCACACAAAATTTGGGCCCATTGTAATCTACGTTGTACCCCGTTTATATAGAAATTACGCAAATCCTGTAATGCGATTAAAACCATTCCATGTTCGTAGATTGATACGACTACATATTAGTGTGATAGTGTGATAGCCTATTACGTATATATATTAACCTCTCATAACTTGTTTTTACGCTGTAAATAACCAAATTTTAATATGAACTACGAAATAAAGATAAGTTGATTCATTGATTGAGACTCACGGCTTTTGATTACGTTATCAGAAGCATAGTAAGCTTGCAACAAAGCTTGGGTTCTTTTTGGAACATACGAGCGTAGATCTTTGTTAGTTGATTTAGCATTGAATAAAATATAACTTGAAATATAGCTTGGGTTCTTGTTGAAACCATAGATAAAGATAGATTGCGCAGAAGACGACATTTTTCATCTTGAAAGATATAAATGTACAGAGATGTTTTAAAGATATTCCTATTATATAGATTAACTAGGTCGGTTGTGAACATTTGCTGTTCTTATGTGATTGAGACTTGTGGTGTACATGAGTTCTGTAGAGAGAAATATAAGATATTTTAAAGTCCTTCTCATGTCCTTCTTCAGTTCTCGTCAATATGATATATTGCTCAGTGAAATATTGTTGTTCAAATAGTTCCATTCCCGGAGTTATTTTACACTCTATTATGAAATCCATTAAAACACCAAACCACAAATCATTGAAGTACACTTTGACCCCTAGAAGTATGAGTTCGCGGACTGTACAATTCTGGGTGATTTTGCGTACATAAGCTATCCATGTTTATTTATTTATCTATGGTTGAAACATACGAGCGTAGATCTTTACTAGTTGATTTAGCATTGAATCGAATATAACTTAAAATATAGCCTGGGTTCTTGTTGGAACATACGAGCGTAGATCTTTGCTAGTTGATTTAGCATTGAATCAAATATAGCTTGAAAGATAGCTTGGGTCCTCGATGAATTATACGAGTTGAGATTTGAACTGTGTGTCCTTTAGATTCAGAGAATTAGTCCTGGTTGATCTTGGTAACGAGAAGATCTGGATAGATACGTCGCCAGTAAAATTGTTATGGAGTAGGTATTTACTACAGGTGCAGTTGCTCGAAACCTAATTGCTAGATACACACTTGCTAAAAATCTACCTCTCAAGACACACGCAGCACTCGTCTAACGATGTTCCCTCTAAAGCTTCGTCCAAGAACATGGAGTGAGAGAAAGCAGGAAGAGAAAGAGGGTGCCCAGGCGCTCTTACTTTTACATACTCCTCAGATTCTAAAATAAAGAATCTTTAATCCTCGACCTTAATTTTCAGCAATCTTTTAATTCATACATGTAACCACTCACCCAAAAGGCGCTAAAACTGTGATTAAAGCATTTGTGGGATTTTTTACAGAAATTATGAGTAGAAAAGAAGAGGAAGAATAAAATTTTGAAATTGAATTATCCATTCAGTTTAACAGATGCTATGGAAACTTACCATTGAGGAAACCAACATGAATGCTATCCAAATTATGAAAATGACGAGTAGTTCTAGCTCTCTGCGAGTTTTTACTGATAAAATTTAATCTCCATTATATCTACATCCCCATCCAACTTTACTATTGAATACCTTGAGTTAGATTCTCTGATGAATTGTCTTCACAGGATTCAACACTTGGTACTACACACAGATTCAGTGCAGAGGCCTGAAATATTAGCTCATTGTGGTAAGCAACTCCACATGGATTTGGGCCGAAAAAATGTCGAAAATTTTTGCGTTTGAAAATTCGCAAATTTATAAAAGGAAATCCGCATAATACCATTTCCAAATCAAACCAGACTTCTAGAGATGTCATATTTCCAAAATTGTTTAACTTCAAAGTGAAAAATGGCAGCTTGAAGAGCAATGGTTAGTAAATAATACATAACAGATCTTGAAAAGAACGCGAAGCTCCCTGAAAGCCTTGCATCTTAAATTTCACGTGGGTAGAATTGAGGCAATTGGATGAAGTTTTGGGCATAAAATATCGTACGGGTGTAAAAACTTGCCAGTTTAAAGTATAAGAGGGGGGGGGGGTAAATTTAGTATATTACCTGAGAGTGGAGAGATCTATGAACAGCAAGGAACTGTTTAAGGTTGAGAAGTCGAAGAGAGTCTATGCTCTTTGATTCAGCATCAACCTATTAAAGGGACTGTAGGCTTTATTTCAAGTGACCATTCAAAGTGGGCGATTCCCGATTCACAACGGTACCCTTAAAACCTTTATCTGAACAACAATGTATAGAATCCATAAGTGAAAATGATCAGATTACAAAAATTGATATGATATCTAATTCATACTTGAACAGACTAAGCTATAAAGGTTACCTTGTGAATCTGGCATTACAATCTTTAAGTGGATGGGTACACCATATAACGTTATTATTATTCATTCTTAGGCGCAATTTTATATTTACTCAAGGTTCACAATAAAAATAGGAATTTAGAGATTTATCACCCATAACTTGCTTAAGAGTTTTGCGAAAAAAAAACCCTATCTAGTCTAAATTTGCATGACTACATGTTTTAGTTTCTTAGTTAACAATTAGGTCAGTAGGTTTCACGAAAAGCAGCATATTATTTCCACTGTTAACACAAATAGAAAATGGCTATGGCCAAGAGTTTTTTTTCTAGAAATATGATTTCCATTTATTTTAAATACAAGGGACATTAGTTCCAACCCTAACGCTTGGCCCATTTCTAACATTGAGTGTAAGAAATGGGTACAAATGGAAAGATTTGGCTTTTAGGATCTCATCCCATATCGAGAGTAAAAGTCGTATAGTTAAATCTAAACCCAGCATTTTATTAAACATGACAAGGACAACCATTCCCAATTTAAAACTATTTTCTGGATTCAAAATTATAAAATAAGATCTTTATAAGTTAAAACCCTTGACCGTTTTCAAGACAATGTCAGGTTTTCCAGTTTCGAACATATCCTGAATTTAAATTATTGTCACGTTTTCGAGACAAAACCCACTTTCCCGTTTTAAGTAAATCCTCAATTCAGAATAAAACTAATTCTCACACCTTATAATTAGTTTAAACTTAAATTTTTTTGTTTTAATGACTAGTTTTCGCCATTTTTCGTAAATGTATGGTGTAGTTTTGTTCAACTCGGCCTGGATTTAAAGATACGCTTGAAAAAGATAACTTTGCAAATTTGGCCCTTAAATAACACTTAGTGTTAGAAATGGGTCAAGTGTTAGTTTTGGAACTATTTTTCCCTGAAATATGTAAAGAATTTAATTGCGTATCATTACGCTTACTATATACCTTTACACATGCAACTCTTACAGTAGCTTTCCAGAGAGCTGTTGTATCAGTTCCCTGTCACAAAATCAAGTAATCAAATACATTAGGACATTAGTCCGTCAAGTGTAATGGTATGCTTTTCAATATTTTTAAATTGAAAATCCTCACTTTTTATAGTGTTCAATGAATAATGAAAGATCTTCTCCCTTTCGATGATTTTCATTAAGCATCTTTATTAGAAGACAAAACTAAAACATAAAAAACCATATTTTCATTAATAACAAATTAACAAAAAAACTTATAAAACAAAAAAATTGATCATAAACGTTGCACCCGGATATCCCTATAAAAAGTTCTTTGTGTTTTGTTCAAAAAGTATCCATTTATTTAAGTCATGTATAAATCATGAAAGATCAGATTTTTGTCCAATTATTTCATAAATTTTTAACTTTTTCTTAAATGATTTTCCTTTTTTACAGCGAAAACCAGACGTTTTCCGTTTGAGTCTAGAAAGTGTCCCGATATCTCGTTCAATTCCTGGATATTTTGCAGGAATTCCTCGTAGCTTACACTAGCTATCTCTTTATAGGACCTAGAACAGGTATGTATAAAATCTAATCAAATCTGAAGCCAGGGATTGCTCAACAGCTCCTTGATCTAGATTTACATTATAAACGCCAAAGAACTAGAATTTAAAAGATCTATATAAAGCTCTGTGTTGGCAATCCATAGAAAAATATCTAGATAAAGCCTGCTTTCAGTGAAATAATTTCTGTCTAATTAGATGATGCAAACCCCAAAAATGTTCCTTGTATAGGGAGAAAAACTACTTTTGAAGAGGAATGATTTTGAAAAGATATATTTCCAGGTGAGGATTAAAGGAAAAATAGACGTAAATTAATTTGGAATTTCCATTTAGTTAAAGAGGCATGTCGAAAAACGGCATCCTTAAAACATTAAGAAACACTAGAAATTTAACATTCTGAAATAATCAATTTTCAGAAAGAAAGACAAGGATGACTTTTTTCCATGGAGGAAAGTTTTAAGGATATCGTTGTGAACTTGTAACACCGAGAATGAATCTGAGAATCAACATACACCCCTGTATATAATCTGAGAATTAACATACACCCCTGTATATATCTGAGAATTAACAAACACCCCTGTATATAATCTGAGAATTAATATACACCCCTGTATATAATCTGAGAATTAACATACAACCCTGTAAATAATCTGAGAATTAACATACACCCCTGTATATAATCAGAGAATTAACATACACCCCTGTATATAATCTGATAATTAAAATACACCCCTGTATATAATCTGAGAATTAACATACACCTCTGTATATAATCAGAGAATTAACATACACCCCTGTATATACTCTGAGAACTAATATACACCCAAATATATAATCTGAGAATTAACATACACCCCTGTATATAATCTGAGAATTAACATACACCCCTGTATATAATCTGAGAATTAATATACACCTCTGTATATAATCTGAGAACTAATATACACCCCTGTATATAATCTGAGAACTAATATACACCCCTGTATATAATCTGAGAACTAATATACACCCCTGTATATAATCTGAGAACTAATATATACCCCTGTATATAATCTGAGAACTAATATACACCCCTTTATATAATCTGAGAACTAATATACACCCCTGTATATAATCTGAGAATTAACATTCACCCCTGTATATAATCTGAGAACTAATATACACCCCTGTATATAATCTGAGAACTAATATACACCCCTGTATATAATGAGAAGGCAGAGGAAACACTTTCACTAATCTTGGTTACAGAACCACAAGATTCAGTCTCTACCTAAACATCAAGCAAAAACGATCAGGTTCAATCAGAAACGATCAGATCAATCAAATCCTAATAAAAAACGATCCAATCCAATCCAAAACGATCAAATACAATAAAAAATAATCAAATCTACTGAATTGTCAAATATATTTGTTCAGTATTGAACAAAAAACTCAAGTCTACATTTTTTGTCTTTTCATACATACAATGACACTACAGAGGTGTATACAGGGGGGTAGGGCTGAACCTCTTGGAAGAGTACAGACCAACCCCCTTTTGGCAATTTGAAAAAGGATAAGCCCCCCTCCCCACTCCCTGTATTCGCCTCTGAACCAAACTCAACTTCATGTTTGAACATGTCTTACGCGCTTTTGCTTTAAATCTTACTTGGCAAACACTTTGCGCAGCACCCATTATGGAAGACGATTAGAAACATGACAAAGAACTAACTGCTGCATTATCGCATTATTTCTGAAATAATCAACGTGTAACTTAACTGTGATATTGTAGCACAGTTGCATATATATTATATAACATATATTACATAAATAGCAGGATAGGGTTAGCAGGGAGAACTTGGTTATGTACAATAGTGAAGAATATTTATCTTTGGCTAATTTCATCCAATATTTTTTTCAAACCCAGTCTAGACAAATTTTGAACTAGATTTAAGAAAAAAAATTAATATTTATAATTCAAATGCACAATTTTTATGGGAAATATATATAAAAATGAATTTGTATTGGCAATAAGTCAGTCTTCTTTCACGCTTTTTCATCAATTTTGTTGAACGAGACAAATATGATGAACAAAGCAAATGCCATTTGCAAAGAACAAACTGCTTTTAACAAATAGTTTGCTGAAAGTTTTTGAGGGAACATTTAACATGCAATAATAACTATTACAATAATGCCACATTTTTTGAGTATTTTAATCAATAATTGTGAGAATAATCTCAGGTTTTAGTATTTTCTGGTTTAAAAACATCAACTAACGGGTTCAAAATTTATCTATTTTATCCCTTTCAATAATTTTTCCATCGATTTTTTCCAGTAATAAAGGTTAATAAAGGTTACATGATCAATGAATAATTATTTTTTAAGAAATTTAATTTCCAACAAGGAAAACACAGCCCGACTTCTCATTTTTGGTTTTGGCCTTTCATCTGCCGCAAAGGTTAATATTTTGCACCATATTCATTTCTGGTAACCCCAAGAAAACTCTATATTTAATTTTCTTTAAAGGAACTCTTTGCAATTAAAAGAAACAATCCTATTAAAGAGGAAAAAGCCCGATTCCCTAATGCTAAGCTATAATACACAATTCCTCCATTGTTTTTGCAACCGACATGCGAAAGTCACTTGTGTAAAGAAACCGCAAATAAAAATGTTCAACCTTTTAAGAGATAAATATGGATCTCATTAATTCTTGATTAGACAAAGCTTTAAAGGGGCACAAAAATAGTTACTTGAAATTACAACTATAGCCCGTTTTATCCATAACAACCCTTTTGTGCTACGAGAATGCCCAATTTAAAATGATTTAACATGGTACAACTTCAGCTACATTAAATATTTCAATTTCATATTATAAGAATAGTACACATAGTAAAAAAATATTAGTACATAATGAATTAAATAGAAAATTAACTAAGAAAGCACGAATCAAATAATACACACATATCAAAAGTAAAAAGGTTTTAATTTAAATATTTTTCTACAGGTGATACAAACAGTAGTAACCAGAAAACTGCGTAATGACTTCTCACTTTTTTCTTTAAGAAAAATAATTCAATTACAAAATGCTAAACGAATTTAAACAGTAAAATAAATAAAGAATACAATAATCATTCCACATTGTTCTGGATTCCACTGTAAGCTCGGCTAAGATGGGGTTTAAACAATGTTCCAGTGGACTGTGGACCGACCACCAGCGGCTAGCACAATACATTTTGAAAAATCTACAGGGGTAACAATAATAAATCCACAAAATGGATTGTAAACCTAATTCAGGTGATCTTCCATTTATAAAGTGACATGTCTGGTTCACAACGGTACCCTTCATACCTCTTTTAATCTTAAAATTGATTATTCTCAATGACGGGTTCTCCATAGAAGAGAAAAAAGAAAAGTCAACACATTTCTGGCTCGAAAAACGACGGTATCTTAACTCAGATAAAGGTTTAAAGAATACCGCTGTAAATCGGACATGCCATCTTACAAATATGGGTTCTTTGAAATTATGTCAAGGATTATGAATAAGAGAAGGAGTATGAGTAGGAGTAGAAGTCCAGGAGAAGGAATGGAGTAGAAGTCCAGGAGTAGAAGTCCAGGAGTAGGAGTCCAGGAGTAGGAGAAGGAGTCCAGGAGTAGAAGAAGGAGTCCAGGAGTAGGAGTAGGAGTTCAGGAGTAGGAATAGGAGTCCACGAGTAGGAGTCCAGGAGCAGGAGTATGTTTAGGTTAGGTACTTTCCTCAAGTTGAGTATAATTATCTATAGAAAATATTTGTCAGGGGGTATCCCTGGATTCTTCGTCTTCGAGCTCCCGGCTGTAGCTCCTAAAAGAAAAGTGTTAAAAAACTTCAAATGAACAACTCACCACATTGAACACTGAGCTGGGAACTCTTTTATTGTGGAGTTGTTAATCTGCAGTCTAATCTAATCATAATTTGGTATTCCGCAGAGTAATTCTACTCTGAAATGACCAGATTAAGAAATAGCATTGAACCCCAAAATAAAAGTGTCCACTGTGGATATCGGGATCTGTGGATCGGGATTGTGAGTATCCAACAGAAAAGTTCCCAGCTCTGATATCCAGCACATAAGTTTCATCTTGAGTACGAATGAAGCAGAAAAAAGCTATATTGATTTTAAAAAAAGCTTATACATAAATAAATTTAATTTACCCCTACTTCCTCCCTTGCAATTGACACATCTATGTAAATACAAATCAAAATGTTAACATTTAAAGGTTTAATTAAAATGTACTGTCGCAAATCTGGCATTGCAATCTTTGCAGTGCCGTAAACTCTAAAAAAAATCAATAAATCTTAGCAACAAAGTTTATAATATGATCACTTGAATTGACGACAGTGCCTTTTTAATCTTGCACTGGCAAATCACCCCCATTTAAATCAGAGCTTCCACACTAAAATCTCAAAGTGGATTTTCCAAACCAAGAATAGAGTCTAGACATTATGATTTCTAATGGATCTTTTGGGAATTTCTCTACATAAATTAAGCATAACCCCAGTACATAGTATAAACAAACTTTATTAATAATAACCAACAATATTAACATGAGGGATTGAATAATTTTGCTCAGATCACCTGACTGGAAGGTTTAGAAGGGTTGTGGTGGAAGTGGCCTGTTCAACTGCTTCACCACTTAAAATTAAAAAATACAAAATTTAATTAAAAATACAAAATTTGATTAATAAATACAAAAACAAAACCAATTGTACTATCTCATTCTTGTTCCAGGAGTGTCTCCATGATTTAATTTACAGACTACAGAGGGTGTGGGACATACTAGTTTAATACAAGGGAAAAACATGCAGTTCAAAAAAATCAAAAAGGGGGAAAATGTCATTTTCATGCGGTTGGGAGGTAGGGGGAGGATAACTGCGTATAACTCCCCCAACCCTCTGTAAACGCCCCTGATCTAATATAATGGTAATATGTTAATTGTTCATACCCTTGTTTAACACTGTTGGTTGAGATGAAGTGTGCTAGAACAGCTACTAATGAACCAAGCACTGCTCCTCCGATCACATCTTCTGGATGATGTTTGTAATCAGAAATCCTGGAATATATCACTATATAGTTCACTAGACCCTCCATCTGAAAATTGTATGCCTGATTCACAATAGTACAATTTCAATATTTTTATAGTTATCCTTGTGATTCTGTCTATAAAGTAATAATTTACTTACAATTCAACTAATGTAAATAATTAAAAATAGTAATGGAATCCTAACTGCACAGGAACACATATATAGTTAAAAGAGATTTGAAACTTGTATCGAAGAATTTTTCTTTATTTGAAAATTCAGGTAGACAGAAGCTGTTTTCTTTATTTGATAATTCAGGTAGACAGAAGCTGTTTTCTTTATTTGATATTTCAGGTAGACAGAAGCTGTTTTCTTTATTTGATATTTCAGGTAGCCAGAAGCTGTTTTCTTTATTTGATATTTCAGATAGGCAGAAGCTGTTTTCTTTATTTGATAATTCAGGTAGAAGAAAGCTGTTTTCTTTATTTGATATTTCAGGTAGACCGAAGCTGTTTTCTTTATTTGATATTTCAGGTAGACAGAAGCTGTTTTCTTGTAAGAAACAATGTGAGTATTCTATAAAATTGGATTTGTGCATCAGAGACAAATTTACAAAATTCTTCACTATTCAGGAAAAAAAATATCTTCCACATTGTTTTACGCAGATAAAGGTGTAAAGGGTACTGTTGTGAATCTGGCATGATACTCTATTATTAACTTGTTAAGTAAAACTACGTTTACATTCCCTTAAAGAGTTCCCTTTCTGCTTAGATATAATTTTGAAAAATTTTAATGTATTACATATCACCAAGCAACCTTATCCTTTTTTGGGGGAGGTGAAGTTTTTTAAAATAAAAAAACTGTACTTTGTACCTTGATAGACTTGTGTAAATAGCGAACAGGGAGCATCCGACTTGTATCAGGGGTTTAACTAATCTATAATTCCTAAACAAAATTATGTATCAGGGGTTTAAAATATCTGACTTATTAATCTATTGTTATCTGACCTATTATTGTTATGTTATCTAACCACTTAATGTTTAGTTTTCTGACCTATTAATGTTTAGCTTCTGACCTACTAATGTTTTGTATCTGACCTATTAATTTTTAGTTATCTGACCTATTAATTTTCAGTTATCTGACCTATTAATGTTTTGTTATCTGACCTATTAAGTTTTGTCATCTAACCTATTAATGTATTGTTAACTGACCAAATAATGTTTTGTTATCTGACTTACTAATGCTTTGTAATCTGACCTATTAATGTTTTGTTATCTGACCAACCAATGTTATGTTATCTGACCAATTAATGTCTTATTATATGACCTATTAATGTTTTGTTATCTGACCAATTAATGTCTGACCTATTAAGGTTCTATTATCTGACCTATTAAGGGTTCTGTTATATTACCAATTAATGTTTTGTTATCTGACCTATTAAGGTTCTGGTATCTGACCAATTAATGTCTTATTATATGACCTATTAATGTTTTGTTATCTGACCAATTAATGTTTTGTTATCTGACCTATTAAGGTTCTATTATCTGACCTATTAAGGGTTCTTTTATCTTACCAATTAATGTTTTGTTATCTTACCTATTAAGGTTCTGGTATCTGACCAATTAATGTCTTATTATATGACAAATTAATGTTTTGTTATCTGTCCAATTGATGTTTTGTTATCTGACTAATTAATGTTTTAATATATGACCTATTAATGTTTTGTCATATGACCTATTAATGTTGTGCTATCTGACCAAATAAGGTTCTGTTATCTGACCTATTTGTAAGCTTCCTCTGAATATAGATGATTGCGAAGAGCATTGAATATGCGGAAAGTGATGCGTGCCCGGATAGAAAACTGAGCCTAGAATCCCGAACCCGGTCCAGATACTCAGGTTCAGATGGGAATAGGTCCGATCCAGAACATGCAAAATCTGAACAATAGTCTTTTTATTTTTTTTTAATGAAGTTTTTAAATGGGTCTTTTCACGTTATTGCAGGACGGGTTTAGATTTAGGTAGGGGTTTAAAAAAGTTTACAACATTTCAAATAGTTTTCATCAAACTTTGCAATATTTGTATCCTATGAGAAAAAGGACCCATAAAAACGACCGATATAACATGATTATTGTTTTTAGTTTTTTTTTTCAAACATTTTCTCCCGAGAACAAAATTTGTAAAAAAGAAAATTTTTAGAATATCAATTTTTAAATTAGTAAAATTGCCAAGATGTAATGGTCCAAAAACCTTAAAACGAATCAACCCACATCTCTAACTGCAAGAGACTGGCCCTAACCGCTATACTCACAAGAAACTAGTGAGTAGTCTACGATTCAAATCTTTTATTATAATTTAAGATGCGGTTCTTAAATCTGAAATTTACGTTGAGAATTAAAATCTGTGAATCTGTGAAGATAATTCCTTCTATACTCTTCAAACATTAAAGACAAACTCCTATTGATGCCAATGTTTTTGACCAAATATATTGGAAAAACATCAAATAATATAGTTAGAGAGTAGAGTAGAAAAATTTCTTGTTTATTTTTAAAGAAAAAGCTTGCAATCTAGAAAATAAATATCATAAATTAACCTGTAATATATTTAGGTTCAAGGGGGGTGCCGCAGGTTGCCTCATCCAGGGTCAGATTAGGGTTACACAGCGATAAGAAGTGAGGCCTAAAGTTAAATAAAAATAAACATACAGGGTTACCCACAAGGGATGAAACTGTAAAGACGATGTATAACTTTAAAATTTGTCAATTCCAAGGTTGTATTAAGTTTTCTGCCGTGAGAAGAGTTTGATGGCTTACTTAATGGTTTGGTTTAAGGTTGCAAGGAATCATAAATATAAGTTAACCGACAGTAAAAATTCCGTATAGTCGTCTCTGAAGTCTCATCCTTTGTGGGTAAACCTGTATCATCCGCGCAAAATTTCCATAAAAATTGTTGCTAGAAAAATCAATAATATTTTAGGAAGATTTTCTTTTGTTTAGTTTTTGTAAATACATGTTTAGAATTTACCTGAGTCTACCGATTGAATATTTACAAATGTCGGTTATCAGCTAAAACATCAAGACATAACAATATTTTCTAAATTATTGATTTACCAATTAATGTCAATGTCATATTCAACCTATGCTTGGGGATTGTTACGCTTATGTTACGTAATGTTATGTTTGGCTTTTTGGCGGCCAAAATGTCAAAACAAAAATTTAAGTAATTGCATATAGCTTGGACTATGAGATTTTTGTATCAAAGATTTTGAAATATATTTGCAGCAAAAACATATCAACTTAAAGTTTATATTCGGGCTAAATATTTAGACCATAAGCATATCTTTTTTTTTTGTTATTTGACAAAAAAAATAATGATAGAACTTACTTCAAATCTTAATTAGATTAAAAAACTAGTGGGACCCATGAAACTGTGAAGTAGGGAGACGACTGTTAGACTCAAGTTATATAATTATAAAAGTCCAAAAATATAGCAATTGTTCAGTGTACACTGTACAGTGACGTGCACAGACCCATTTAAAGAAACGAGTTTATTTCCAAGCTCCGGGTAAATCTATTTGCTTTACAACATCAAATTCACATATAATTGCTTAAATGTCGTCATACTAATCCCCAGTTTAAAGGGAACAACTTTATCGTAAAAATTAAAAATAAGTTTTTGTTTGTCTGGTGTCCCTGATTTGCTGCTGCTCCAAAGAAAAATGTAACGTTCACAGAGTAAACACTTCGGAAAAATCTAAATATATTAAAGATGTAGTTTTTTGTCTCGAAAAACGGCCCCTTTCCAATATCAAAAACTGACTTTTTTTCGCTGATTATTTGTAAAAACTAATATTTCAATTAATTTCTTATCTAAAAAGGTGACACTAATTTTAACCAATCCCTTTAATTAAGTGTTAAACTGTTCCATTAGTCCCGTTAATACATTTGTTAAAACTTTTTTAATACAAATTTTAAAACAATCCCTTAAATACAATTTTTAACACACTCCCTTTAATACAAAAGTACGTACTCTGCTAAGCTCTTTGCTCCTGAGGTTCGAACAACAGAGAACTCAACTAGAAATAGAAAACAGATGCAGGGAAAAACAATTTACAAAAAAAACACTAAAAAGAATTTATTGTTTTTGTTTGAGCAGAGCTGTAAACTTTAGAATGGTGGATATTAAGATTAATGCTTGATCATCTCTTTTTCTTAACATCGAGAATAACCTAATCTTATACTTGTGTCGTGAAAATTGTATAAAATTCAAATAATCAGAGTCGCATATATAAAGCCGATAAATTTGAAATTTTGTGCGCCATTTAAAATTAAATATAGAAACGGGAGGAACTCTCTAAATTAAAAAACCGGTTTTTGATCTTTCTCTACAAAATCCAAGAAAAAGCGGTTTAAAAAGAAAATCATTGGATATTTAGGTTAAGTAATTTGGATTAAGGATATCTCATTCTAAAGTTTTCATCAATCATCATTATCATCATTATCATCATTATTATCATTATCATCAATATCAGCAATCATCACTATTACCATTATCATCAATATCATTATAATTATTATAACACAATTATTATTGTTATCACAGCTATTAATATTTGAATTTTTACAGAGAAAAACATTGATGAAAGCTTACTGGGTGTCGAATGGTGTCATCGTTGCAGAAAAATCCTCTCGAGTAGGGATCACCTTAAAATATAATACAGATAACCCACAATTGGGACATTATCAGTTGTAATGGTACCGTGGTGAAACTGTCAAATAACTTTTTTTAATTTAAAGCAATTTTACGTCTTCAGTACTTCAGTAATGGAATTTGAAATGGGGTAAAATGGAAACGACTCAATGTTTTAAACTTTTTTTAAACAAAAAAGGTCCTGCCGAGAGTTATTAATAGTTTTGAATATTTCCTTTAAAAAAGTGCAAAAACGATGTAAAAACACGTCGTTTTTGCATCGTTTTTTGATCGTTTTTGGTTCGTTTTGGGTCGTTTTTCGCATATAACTTTTTCCAGGGTTAAAATTTGAAAAAGTGTAAAAAAATGTTTAAATAAACATTTTGAAAAACGAACCAACTGAAGAAGAAGTTTTAACATAATCTGAAATGGTAAGTTACCTATTGCGTCCAATATTATGACAGGTAGGAAGATAACACCTACGCAGACAACATCAACGATCACAGCAAATATCGTCTTCCTCGCTTAATAGAGATGGACGTTGGTTTTAGTTTGTCTTTAAACATTTAGGGTTCTGTATGAAGTGTATTAAAATTGTGCAGGGTTACCCACAAAAGATGAGACTTCCAGCGCGCATTTTAATAGTTACTCATTTTAACCTTCAAATCGTCAAATCCAAAGATTTTTAGGTCTTTATTATTAAGGGAGTGACCGCCACAGTAAAAACAGAGAATCTAATATTGTGGAGACATTTTTTAAAATTAATTTGAGACATATAAAACGTTTTAATGATATATAATTACTGAGCTTGAGCGCCAAGTCGACGTTTAAAATCAGCCATTAGGATGGCTAATGGCTACGCTTTGAAAATCGATTTTTTGAAAATTATTAAATAGTGATGACAAGAAATGTGAAAAATTCTACAGTAAACTAATGAGATGTTTAGGAACAATGCACATATTTCTCAATAAATCAATTTTAGAATCAATTATTTCTTTTCATCATTATATTGAATTTCTTGTTCTTAATGAATTTGTTGGCAGATTTCTTCAAATTCGTCAAATGTCGTATTTTTAATAAAAATTCCAGGAAATCTACAGAATATGTTTGTTAACAATGAAACATTACAGAAGCCCATGACTGAATTAAATTCCTTTTTTTTAGATGATAATAGATAATTTTCAATTTTCTAAACCTGTTCCTAAACAACTTATTAATTTACTGTAGAATTAATGCTACATTTTTCGTCGTCGTTATTCAATAATTTTTTTAACCGATTATCAAATCATCCCTCAAAAATGAACAATCTATGAGGATTTTAAAGATTGAATTTACACTCTTGCTGAACAAATATGCACTGCGAAAATGTCTCAAAGCTATCAAATGATTTGTAAAAACTTTCTCCACAATATTACATTCTCAGTTCAACTACCATACATCGTTGGTCAATCCCATTAGAGCCTCATCCTTTTCGGGTAACTCTGTATGATAAATATCCCAGAATTTGGTGTGCCTCCAAAAAGGCAAAAGCCTTCCAAAATGAACGTTTCCAAATGTTAGAAACCAAAATGCAGAAAAAAATAATACAACGTCTGAAGAACGGGAAATTATTCTTCATAAGTTATTCAAACATTAATAAAAAAAACTGTCTACCTTCCGTCATGATGAAAATATTCTCAAGTCCAATAAAGGTTCACCAAAGTTGCAGTCAGATTAAAGTGTGTAAATCAAGAAGCTAGGGATTATCCAGCAGCTCCTTAATCTAATAGTCTTAACGAAAATTCACAATTACAAACTTGAAATTAACGACATAAACAACAAAATAAAATAAAAAATATCTTCAAAAATCATATCAAATCAGTCTTTAAGGTAAATCATAGTAACCAAGATTCACGATGAAATTACTGAACCAAGAATAAATTATAAATTATAGCTTTTAAACTATTCCTGCATGTTGTTACCTTTCACAAAGTAAAATTTTTTAATGTTTAATCCAAACAGTTTCTATAGTTTTCCCCTTCTTTGTCATAAATGTGAATAATTTCTCCTTGCCTGGTCATTAGATGTTTGGAACATCCGTCATTTTCTCTGAAATAAATAAACGTAAAATATAAAAATATAAAATGTATAAATTAAATAAATATGGGCAAGAGGGTCTGTCTTAAAGTCACAATAAAGCCCTTAGGACAATATAAATATATGTAGAGGAACAGGAATTGGTGACGCTAGTATGTCTTCATTTGTAACAAATCTGTACATGAATCCGTGTACACTGTACACTGAATACTCGTAACACAACTGTACATGTATCCGTGTTCACTGTACAAATTAATCTATTAAAAATTGTTTATCCTATACTTCTCTTTATGATCTTTTGCCAAACAGTAGGATGAAATAAGGATATAATCAGTACAGTTGTACATGTATCCATGTACATTGTGTACACTGTGCATGTATCCGTTTACACTGTACACTGTACAGATTAAAATATCACTATCCGTGTGCACTGTACATTGTACAGATTAAACTATCCCTATTCGTGTGCACTGTACACTGTACAGATTAAACTATCACTATCCGTGTACACTGTACACTGTACAGATTAAACTATCACAAGTTCTTTATCCCCGTATCCGTACTCCTCTTTGTGATCCTTCAACAAACAATAGGGTTTAATACTTATGATGTTGTTTTTTAACACTGTTCAGTTGTACACTGTGAACAGTTATACATTGTACAGTTGTACAGTTTTACGGATTAAACTAAAAAGGTGTGGAACATGAATATTTTTAAACTAAAATTTAAAATAAAAAAGAGGTTTTGTAATTTTTTCTTCGCTAAATTTGATCTTATTAAATAATCTGCCCACTGCCATCCCTGGGCAGAAAGGGCTATACGAGATTCGGATTTAGATTATTATTATAATGAGAATGATAATCTATGAAATAATTGATCAATTTCATTTCTTAAAGTGATTATGACCATGATAATAAAGGGAGGGTACCCTTTAAACATTGGTTTGTTCACTCTAGTATCAAAACACTCAATTGTCAACTAAAATATAAGGATCGTCTTTGTCAATGATAAACACACAAAGGGTTTAAAGTGTACCGTTGTGAATCGGTCATGTCACTCTATAAATGGGGGGTAAATTAAAATAACAATTACAGTCCCTTTAAGGTTCATGAGGATAAGTGGTCAATATTGTTAGATAAAAAATCACCATAGTGATATTTAACGATAAAAAATCAGCTGACAAGATATTAAAGTTTGGGAATTAAATCAAAACTAAAAATAATAACTTATCAACCTCTCATCACAGTAAAACTAAATAACCAGCCAAAAATCTTTAAAAATTGTAATCACAGTTTGAGTCTGAACTTGAAATATCGAAGTACCATGTTATAAAGTTTCTTATCAATTTTGAAAATGAACCGTGAGTAATTTAATTTGATAAGGAATTAAAATATTTAGGGATTTAGAGTCGTCTTCCGTAAAAAAGTAAAAATGCGGGAAGTTACTTTCAACCACGTAGGCTAGTTCAGCCACCTAGCTCAAATTAATAATTAATATGATTAGTAAAAATTGGTCCCTGGAAAACTAAATCAATTCTAATTGTTGTTGCCGTGTAAAGATATTGCGATTATTAGGATTTGATGCGTCTCTGGTTCTAGTGATTGTAAGTCTACGATTCTTATCTAATGTATCTATTCTATATTAAATCCTATTGTTTGCCTGATAAAGTTGTAACATAGAAGCGATATATTCATTTTGCAGACATTCTACATCTAGCACAGTGGGCTCAACAATCTAAATATAGATATATTCATTTTGTAGACGTTCTACATCTAGCACAGTGGGCTCAACAATCTAAATATAGATATAATCATTTTGTAGACATTCTACATCTAGCACAGTGGGCTCAACAATCTAAATATAGATATATTCATTTTGTAGACATTCTATATCTTGCACAGTGGGCTCAACAATCTAAATATAGATATATTCATTTTGTAGACATTCTATATCTAGCACAGTAGGCTCCACAATCTAATAATAGATATATTCATTTTGTAGACATTCTACATCTAGCACAGTGGGCTCAACAATCTAAATATAGATATATTCATTTTGTAGACATTCTACATCTAGCACAGTGGGCTCATCTATCTTGGTGGGCTTAACCATCTCAATATAGATATATTCATTCCGTAGACATTCTACATCCAGCACAGTGGGCTCAACTATCTTTGTGGGCTTAACCATCTCAATATAGATATATTCATTCCGTAGACATTCTACATTTAGCACAGTGGGCTCAATTATCTTGGTGGGCTTAACCATCTCAATATAGATATATTCATTCCGACATTCTACATCTAGCACAGTGGGCTCAACTATCTTGGTGGGCTTAACCATCTCAATATATATTCATTCCGTAGACATTCTACATTTAGCACAGTGGGTTCAACAATCTAAATATAGATTCATTCATTATCTTAGGAAGCCCTATTCCCTCTCCCCAAACCCGAATGGATTAAATAAAACCAGGATGTGAGGTAAGGATCAACTGAGTAGATTAATAATGCAAAAGTTTTGACTTCAGGGTGATTACCTGATCCGACCCGAATAAAATTACCTTATTGACCCGGATAGGTTTGCCAACAACGACGTTGATCTCTCTACGGTGAGGTAGGATTCCAAATTGGTTTTGTTTAAATCCACGACCAGTGAAAAATACAGGAGAAAACCCGATAAACTTAGTCAAACGATCCTAAAACAGGGAAACTAGTTTACTTCTTTTGAGGGGGGGGGGGGGTATATAATATATTTTACTTTTTCTTCTCTCCAAAAATGCTAAACTGGAAAAAATGAAACCCTTGTAACCTGAATGGCAGAGTTAAGATGAGTGAACTGACTGAATAGATCTGTTTCACCGAAAGAAAAACAGGGAACTAAAATAACAACTGGTTAGAGGTGGGCACACTCAATAAGAACAATAAATGTACAACTGCCATATTACATTGAAATAAAGGGACTGTAAGCGTAATTTCGCGTGACCCTCATGCAAAGATGGCATTGCTCGTTTCACAACTTTAGCCTTTAAACGTTAGACCACAGTTTCTTTGAATGAGTCCCAAAAACGATACACAATGGTTCCCATAAAAGGAATTGACCGGCAATGCATGGTAGTTCAACTAGGAATGTAGTATATTGTGGAGAAATTTTTTAGGATTAATTGAGAGATATAAAACGTTTTAATGACGTTTTCATGAGTTTGATCGCAAAGTCGACTTTCAAAGTCATCCATTTGGGTGGTTACGTTTTGAGAATTGATTTTTTTAAAATTATTAAATAACGACGACAAATGTAACAAATTCTACAGTAAACTTGTGGATGATTTTAAAAGTTGATTTTGAGCTCAAACTCACTAATTTACATCATTAAAATGTCAGACAGGTCTCAAATGAATCCTAAAAAAGTTCTCCCAATACCACATACTCAGTTCAACTACCATACATTGCCGGTCACTTTTTAGGATTCATTTGAGACATTAAAATGTTTTAATGATGTAAAACTACTGAGTTTGAGCGTAAAGTCAACGTTCAAAATTATCCTATTGGGAGGTTACGTTATGAAAATCGAAATTTTAAAAATCATTAAATAACGACGACAAAAAATGTAAACAAAATTCTACAGTAAACTAATTAGATGTTTATAAACATATTTCTCAATAGTTTTCGTTTTCGTTTAAGTTATTTTGCGTTTTTGTTTTTGTTTTTCTTACCAAGATCTGCGCCATGCTCTAGAGCCAGTTTTATAAATCCTTTCCTCTTCTTTATTACAAGAACAACCTGGACAGTGGACATTTAACAAATTATAATAAAAAAATGTATAGAGTCAACTCTTATACTCTAAGAACTAACTTAGTGAAGAGCTGAGTGTAAATTCATTATTGGGAGTCATTCCTAAGGCGGCCTGCCATGGGCCCTTCTGTACACTTACCAGATTCCAGATTGGAGGGATTAGAAAATCAGATTTCGAAACGTGTACTAATGTGAACTTTTATCATGATAAATGTTTAGTTCCATAATCCTTTCAAGTAAAAAAACCTGCACATTTTACTAGTTAAAACACTTTCCTCTCCACTTATCTCTTAATCCCTTTGTTTTAAAGCGTACACCTTTCATATTTCAAACTATGGCTATTAGATTTCACAGGAATAATAGTTTGAAATATCAAAGGCCTACAACATTAGGTTGCAAAGAAATGAAGATTAGAAAATCAGAGTTTGAGGAAAGTAATGATTTCAGACAACAAAAAAATTATCAAACAAACTAAGAAAAGGGGTGTGTCACCTTGTCCTTGTAGAAGTTTGCAATCTCAGGTACTCCACCCACTACCAGCACAGGGGCGGTTCCAACCCGAGTACTAAACACACGATTTAACAAAAAGCGAGAAGAAGTTAAACGGCATAGACCAGGAACCACGTATCTTATGCACCGGTTTAAGTTAAACGAAGTGGTTCAACTTTGTCTACTCTGTTCAACTCTCTCTCGATTTTCATTAGATCTCGTCCCTGGAGAGAAGATGCTTCAAGGACTTCTTGGATGAGGCACAAGCTCCAGAACCCATGAACAGTTCCCTACAAATAATTCATTTAAGTGACTGTTAGCTTAATTTCAAGTGACTCTATGTGCATATTATGCTTTGAGGACTTAAAAGGACTGTTGAGGTAATTTCAAGTACCTTTCCATTTTGTAATTAATTATTTTTTTAACAATTAACGTGAAAAGGTTGACATTTGCTGGTTTAAGGGGGGGGGCGATCATGAGAAAAATAAAAGAGAGAAATAACCTCACCTGAATGCTGGCATCCAAAAATTTCCTTCTAAAGATAAGAGTCTAGGACGGATTCCGGGAAATAAGGCAGAGAAACCTATGTATTAGAATAAGGGTCAGATTTAATAAACAGCAGGAAGTGATTAAACTAGACATAACTAGTTCAACTACTAATTCATAGGAAGAAGTTAGGATTGATTTTTTGTTCTCTTAAAGATGCTAATACTTGATGAAAAATTCTTGCTTTTTTCCGTCACAAACATAGTTGTATTGAAAATAAATTTACATTTAGTATATTTCTTCAGCTTAAAATATAGGAGTAGAAATATTTGGTTAAGAAAATAAAACTATAAAGACTCTATTCCTAACAAATAATAGTTTTGAGGGGGAAAGAAAGATAAAAACGCTTTATATTGTTAAAAATATGATGAAAATACCTGCTCCCTCAGTACCCATAGCTCCAAATATACCAAAACAAAGAACACCATGAGGATGAGAACAGAAGATATAATTCTAGAAAAAAAACAAATTTAGGAACCGTCGACGTAATTTCAAGTGGCCTCCTATTTAAAATAGGAAGGTAGGTCCGATTTGTCTATGAATTTTTTTCGCGTCCAAATGGTCTTGATCTGTTGATGAAATACCCCTGAATTGTGGAGGTGAGATCTAAGAAGTTTGACTCGTACTCTGTCTGAAGATCCAGTTTATTTTGTGAAGTACACCTATTTCAGTGGTACTGTACAGCCACAGTGCGTCTAAAACTACCATTTGATAATCAAATGTTCATGTTTTTTTTCCGTTACTTTATTTGCAGCCTAGATGCGTTGAAGACGAGTGTTGTTTTATTTTTCAAAGAAAAAGTTTGGATTAGATAGATCCGATATTATTCTGTCAGGATTTTGCTGGTCACATTTAGGTATGGTCTTGTATCAGGGTATTGCGTTATTTTATGTACTGGGTGGACCTAATTGCAATCACTTTGTTTTCTTTTAGTTTCTAAAATATATAAGGACAGTGTCTGCTCTGAGATTTAAATAGTTCATTTTAAGCTCATTGAACCATATTTGTAATTTCTGAAGTAAGTTTTTTTTTCTGCCTTAGATTGAACAGGTATCCAAATTTTTCTTCACTTTGATTAAATATGGTGAGAGATGTTTGCAGAGTCCAGACAGCACAATCCATAAAAGGTTATTTCATCAAAGATATTTTCGTTTGAAAAGTACAGCGGTCGATTTAGGCCACTTTACAGAATAGTTATGTTACTTGAAATTATGTCTACAGTTCCTTAAATTCACTGAGAAATTATCTTGGATTTTCAAGGAAACAAACAGCCTGTTTTTTTTCATTTAAGATCAATTGCAGGAGAAAACCAGTCTGAAGTTGACTTATAAAACTGTGGCGTCAATTCTACGTTTGAACGAATGAAATGTTTCTATTGCAAGTAAGAGAAAGCTGACCTTAGATTATGATCACTAAAATAATATTTTGAAAATATCTATCAATATCAGATATTCTCTATATTTGTGTACTGAGAGGATCCAGGATCCATATCAAAAGCAATGCAATAAACAATTAGGGGCAAAATCTGACAAAACTTTGTCTACCTTGTTAGGTGGGATATCAGCTGTTTTGATGAGTTTAATGGGAAAATAAGAAATAAAATAACTCCAAATGCTCCAATTCCTCATACTGTACACATACCAATCAGGCCGTCCACCTAGAATATTACTTATTAGAAAAGGAGGGACAGCAACCTCAAATAAAATATTTAGAGAGGAGAGGGCAAACTTTAATACTTCCTAATTTAGTGGTTTGTGTCAGATAGGCCACTGTGAGCGTCTATACTTGTCTGTCCTGGGCTGCAAGCCTCTGACTCCCCGGGTTGACCTCTTCTGGTCCCAGGGTGCCTAACAATTTTGGTAGAAAACATGCCAAAAACAAACACAATAGGAAGATGGCTTAGACATCTGATATGTACACTTATAAGGCAAACATTTATGAGCCAAGCACTGCATCAAGAAAAAAATGTAGCCAAATTTTACTCAACTGATTAAACCGAGTACTGAAATATTTTCTAAGATCACTGAAACAGAATCAAAATGTCAGGTAAAGGGTAAAGTATATGTACTGCCTTAAAAGTTGTTGCATGGATGTTACAACTTTATAATTAATGACGCAAACATCATGGCATTAGTTGCCTTTTGCAGAAATTTTCACCTTTTGCACAGATCCTGAGATCCCAGAGCCAGTAGATACAGTAGATCAGGGTCAAATACCAGTTCCCAGTTACAAATGGTACATAGCTGAAACATGCAGATTGCAGGGGTATATAAATCAAGCAAAAATGAAAAAATAATTTTTCATGGTCATTAAAAGAGAAAATATGTCAGCATGATTAAAAAATCTTGTGTCCTTTCCATGTCAACTGTGATGTGTATTGTGTAATGAAAGAAATATGAAATAAAATTTTAGTTTAATAATCAAGGAACTGTCCTTTGATATCAATGTAATCAAGGATACAATGAAAACGTTGAAACGGAAGAAATTAATAAAATAAATATGATTTTATAATATAAACTTACAAAAGTATAATGAGAGCTGCAGGTCCAACCACCAGGAAGACTTAAACAAATATAATAGATATTTTCCAGATTAAAATAAGGGAGGAGACAGAAAAAAGAATGAAGAAGACATGAAGAGGTAGGAGAGTGAAAAAGAAACAGAAAAATGAACAGTTTTCACATATTTTTCTTTAAAATGCATTATTTTATCTAATGTTAAAATTCAATCCTTTAACCATAATATTGTTTTTATTTATATAGGAATAATAAAATTTTTAATTTCTAAATCATAATTACCAGAAAGAAAGAAAAGAACTGCAATTACTTCCTTCAAAGATTTCAATCCTGTAGTCTTTTTTACTTCAGGGGTAGACTTCTCTATGGCAGGAGTAGTCTCTCTGTCAGAAGTAGTCTTCTCAATAACAGGAGTGTTTCTTACTTTAGAAGAAGTCTTCTGAATCGAAGGAGTTATCTTCTCTACTTTCTCTATGACAGGAGTAGTCTCTCTGTCAGAAGTAGTCTTCTCAATAACAGGAGTGTTTCTTACTTTAGAAGAAGTCTTCTGAATCGTAGGAGTTATCTTCTCTACTTTGGGAATAATCTTCTCTATGCCAGGAGTCATCTTCTCTATGAAGGGAGGAGTCTTTTCTTTTGCAGGAGTAATCTTCTCGATCTCAGGAGTAGTTTTCTCGATGATTGGAGTAATTTTCTCGATCTTAGGAGTAGTCTTTTCTATTTTCATCATAGTCTTCTCTATAACAGGAGTAGTCTTCTCTATCACAGGAGTAGTTTTATCTGTCTTTAGAGTAATCTTCTCGATATTAGAAGTAATAATTCCCGCAATTGTGTGGTGATCAGTGGTTGTTTTATCTGCGTAAGATTTCCCGCCATTTTCAGATTTGACAACAAATTGTCCGTTGCCCATTTTACACTCTGAAAAAGTCAGAATATTATAAATCTTGTAGTTTTACAAAGTATTAATAATTAAATCTTTAGGAATCAAGCATGAATCTTTGTTGAAAGTATAAAATCAATATCAGAAAAAACTTATTGAATGTTTCAGTAAGATAAACTGCGGACATGCAGATGGAGAAAGGAGAAAATAAGATGAACATTTAAAATTATTATTGTACCATTTCATTTTATAAAAATAAAAAATAAAATTATAAAAGATTGTTAAAAATTGAATTGTATAGTAATTTTTTCAAGCATTATAGTAATTTTAACTTTTAGATATTTGATACCAAAAACAAGCAACGAAAATCAATGCTAATTATCAAAAATGTTTCGAAAAATACATATTTAAGTGATTTTTCTTTTATAAAATGTAAACTTCTGTGTCTTCTTCACGATCGAGATGAATAATATACATTTCTTTACCTAAATTAGAAAATCACAATTCATAATTACAGACAATCCCAAGATCATATTTTGTAACATAAATTCTGGGGGGAAAAAATTTTGAGAAAATGTTACTCCTAAGTAAAGGTTTTTAATAAAAAGTAAGAAAGAGTAAGAAAGAGTAAGAAAGAGTAAGAAAGAGTAAGAAAAAAGTAAGACTGAATAAGGACAGACGGTAAGAAAGAATTATAAAAAAAAACAGACAAGTAGGACGATAAAATGAAAAGATGTTGGATGAAAAAGACAGAGTGTCAGTCAGTAAAAACAGTCTAAATAAAAAAACAGACAAAGACGACATAAAATGAAAAGATGTTGAATTAACAGGACAGATTGTCAAACAGTAAGAACTATATAGAATAAACATAACAGACAAGGACGACATAAAATGAAAAGCTTTTGAATGTACAGGACAGATTGTCAAACAGTAAGAACTGTATAGAATAAACATAACAGACAAGAAGGACGGCATAAAATGAAAAGATGTTTAATGAACAGGACAGAGTTAGAACTGTCTAAATAAAAGGACGAACTAGGAATCACTGGACATGGAAAATGTATCATCATCGTCGAGCCCTGAAAAAAATGCCGATTATCATAAAAATTAATATTTAAAAAAGGTCAACATAATAAAATACTGAAAATAAGTAATATTTTAATGTTTAGAAACAATCATTTAAAAGTACCAAAAATCATACAAGACTTTTTTCTCTAGTTTAGATGGTACGTAGACGTAGTTATTATCAAGAATTCCTCCATTTCTTTAGTGGCATATCCGATTAACACAGGTACTTTTTGACTGATTAAGGATGAATAAAATATCCTTATTTTCTAGATACAAATAGAAAATTTTCATTATGGCACTTCTCTATAAAAGTGAATTTGACATGCCACTTTTCTAATGATGGGTCACTTGAAATTACGTCAAGTCCCTATAATAAAGAAAAAAAGGAGAAAGTAACTGCGTACCTATGACACTATCCATGATGTCTGTGTTACTGAGAAGCTCAGTGAGTCCTGTTGAATCTTCAAGATATTTTGGACACGTTCCAACCTTCTTAACCAACTCAAAACCTTCATCCTTTAAAAATAACAATTTATAAAATCATAACTAACGGAAAGCCCGTGGCTGTATTCTAAAACGGCCTAAAATGATTTGACAATGAAATGTATAATGATGATTTAATTGGAAAAAAACGGACAATTTACTTTTATTTAAAAAAACTTTATCGGTACAAATTTTAGTGAAACTAAAACCAAAGGTGGTTTTCAATGAATATGCAATATGCATAACTGTAAGCTACTTTTTTTAAAAATTAAAACTCTAATTTAAGTGTTTCATAAAAATGTCTTATGTAAATAAAACCTTTTCAATTTTCTCTATCACCTTATAAACAATGTATGTAGTTGAACTGAAATTGCAGTATTATCGAAATTTTTTTAAGAATTTATTTGAGACCTTTCAGACGTTTTTATGGTGCATATTTGTTCAGCAAGAGCGCAAATTCAATATTTAAAATCCTTATAAGAAATTTGTCAATAAATCAATGTTAGAATCGTTGAATTCATTTTCTTATTCTTTATGAATTTGTTCGCAGATTTCTTCAAATTCTTCTAATGTCGTCCTTTCATTAAAAATTCCAGGAAATCTACAGAAAATGCTTTTAAACATTGAAACATTACAGAAACCAATATCTGAATAAGATTACTTATCTTAAATAATAAGATTTTATTTTTATTTTCTCAACCTGTTCCTATACATCTAATTAGTTTACTGTTGCATTCTTTTTAACAATTTTTGTGGTCGTCATGAATATTTAAAAATTTGCGGAGCAAATATGCACCATAAAAACGTCTTAAATGAATCCTAAAAAATTTCTTAATAATACTGCAATCTCACCAAACATTGCCGGTCACTCCTTTTAAGAAGGACAGGCTTGTCTTATTCAAACAATTGTGCATGAGGTATACCTTGTACATCTTGATTACAGTTGGACTACATGCAGTACACTGGGAGAATGCTGAACCGGTGGGAAGGAACTGGTTGAAACTGTGAAGGGAACCTCTGAAATTAAATAATAATTAATCATAATTGTCATTGGTTATTAAAATAACCCAACACACATATATGGTGAGAGAAATCCGTCACTATTGTCATATTTTTAAAGGGAGTGTTTGCGAAAAATGGAAGGGGGTATAGGCTTACGCCGAAAAATATTCGATGGTGATGGCTACTAATCTGACTTCTATCTGTTGCGTCTATAAGGAGAAAATGATTAATAACGACTCATACCGAAGAACGTAGCGTCCATACAAAATCAGAAAAAGTTGCAATATTTGACTCGGATCGTAAAAAAATCAATTTAATAATTAATTTCAAACAAATAATTAAGATATTACAACCTATAATCATCGATATTTTTCGACGCATTCGTATTAGATCATTAGATGATACTTCATTATTTTTTTGTCCGCTATGTGTCTGTGCCACGTGGAACCAAAGATACATTGAGAGCAGAGACACCTAGCGGCCAACTAATCGTTGTTTAAATTGCATCATACAAAAAAAACAAATAATGAATATTATGATCCGAGTCGAATGTTGCAACTTTCTGAATTTGTATTTGACGCTACGTGTAATAAATTATATTACCCTGATCGGCCAGTCTGGTCAGTTTATATTTGCCTGTATTAATAAAGTAGTAATGTATGAATCGTTGATTTAGACGGACGTTTATAATAGAGCCTTGAGTTTGGGCTAGAGATAGACTCAGAGAGACTGAATTAGACTAAGAGTCAAGTAATCTCTGGACCTAGATTTATTACATACGTTCTTCAGTATGAGTCGTTTTTAACAATTTTTTCCTTATAGACGCAACAAATAAGTAAGACTAGTAGCAATCCCCATGGAATATTTTTTCGACGTAAGCCTTATACTCCCTTTCATTTTTCTCGAACATTCACTTTTAGTGACCTCAAATTAATTCTGAAAATTTCCTTTATATTTTCCGAAGCAGAAATCCGCAAGTGACTTCTATAGACAACCTACGAATTACGATTGAAAATAACCAATTTTCACAGTTAAGCACATGTATTTTGGATATCTTGTTCTTTATTGAACATACAACGCTTTTATGGGTACCGCTGTAAATCGTACATGACACTTTTTTTTAAAATGGAGCTCCTCTTGAAATCAAGTCTACATTATCTTTAGGAATAGTTAGGATAAGGTGACTATAAAACCAACCTGATAGTATGTGGAACTAATCCCAGAACACTTTCAGCAGCCTGATGCTGTTCCTGTGAAGAGGATTGAGAAGGTGCAGCTCCGCCTAAAGGATGTTCTAGACAGGAAACAGCTAATTCCACCGCCAAGGCAGCAGCTGTAGCACTAGCTCCAGGCCTGGAATAAAAACGAAATTTTCAATTCTTCATCTTCCTCTTCTACTGTTTGTTTGTTTATCCGATCATAACTCATGAACCCTCTAACGGATTTGCCCTCGGGAAAACCACGGAAATGTTTTTAGCTTAGTTTGGAGATTCTAAGTTAGGTGGATCGATTTTTTAGCGACAAGTGCGGGTAAACAGCGGGAGAAACTATGAGTAACCCTGAGCAACGCTGGGTTCCTTAACACATTGTAGTTTAAAATTAAATTTTAGCGATGAAAAATCAAACCATATTAAGAACAATAAGGTATGGGTTGCCCAACAACTCCTTGATCTAGCCGGGGTATGTTTAAAAATAATAATATTTTTTTTATCAAAACGTAAATATCAAGCAAAAGTTTCCTAGCTATGAAAAAATATTATTTTAAGGAAACATTAAATAACTTTTTTTAATAAAATAAGTGTACTGCAGTTACTGTGATGAATATAAACAAAACTCCTACCTCGTAACAGTGCACTGCATATCTAGAGTTCTATCCGACATTGAGTCTCCCGGGGCAACAATATCGTTGCAGAAATAACAACCAAGATGAGTTCCTGGCACACAATCTAAACAAACAATCAGCTGTCTCGCTTCAGAATTAATAAAGTGTTCCGGCATCACACGCTATAAGTCATCTTCCTTTTCCACTAATTCAAGGGATCACTGTATAGTGTGTACAACAAAAAGTGAGACTTAGTTTAAAGTGACCCTACATATAAAGCATTGCATGACCGATTCAAAACGTAAAGTAACTGAAAAAGTAACTTGCAGATAACGAACAATATTTAAATACGTTAAGATATTAAACGCCGATATCTTCCGTGTCCTCATTGTTGCTTAAATTTATGTAAAGGTGTAGAAGTGACAGTCTCCTTAATTCTAACCTTTAAGATCAAAAGTTTGAGCCTCTGTGTCAATATGTCTAACTCCGTGACGCATAACAAGGTAAGTGTCGAATCCAAGAGCAGCGTTGATAACAATCTTCTCCTAAACAAGAACAATGCTATTTAATCCTGTAAAGTAAACAAAGAAAGGTTTGTTTCAATCTTTATGACAGAAAGAATCGTAAGAACTGATCAGGGTAAACCCAGACCGAAATATGTTTTCAATAAAATGTGGAACTAACATCTACTTTATTTACTCTGCATTTAAGTAGACATCTAGGGATATATATAATAATTATCATTTTACCGGATGGCAGGCCGCCATGACAGTTGGCAGCCATCTTGATTCTCTGCTGTCCATGAGAAGGAAGACGACTTGATGCTCGGAGATAAGTTTGTGCAAAGTGTCATGTGCGGCATGTACACTTGCCTCGGTTGAATCGGAAATCGGATGTCCTGAAATGGAGGATTCTTTGTCTATTATTGTCAAAATTTAATAATAATTGGCAAATAATGCTGAGTTGTTCCAGTAATTATTTAAAGTTTAAAATGTGTAACCTGGCATAGGTATTGTGAGATCAATTCCTTCAGCCTTTACTCCGGGAAATATTTGTTCAACTTTCTAAAATAAAACAAAGAATAAATCTTCATAGAAATAAGACCCCTGCCCCCTTTTTTCAAGAAAATTGATCCTGACGTTGCTCTCAAAATTTGGAGAATTAGATAAGTTTGTGAGTGGGTAAAAAGTCTTAAATACAGTCAAATTTTTATTCTTATTCCCAAAATGCATAATTTTTATATTAAAGAAAATTGTAAATATAGGAATGAGGCTTTTTCTCAGCTAAGTATTAATTTTAACATTTAAAAAAGTAGATATTGCAAAATAATTAAAGTTTAGTTTCAAACTAAAGACAATAAATTAATGTTCAGAAGCATAAATTTCAAGAATTCATAGACTTAGGAAAAAATATAAAATAATTAGTCATCAACATATTCCTTGCATTTATAACGGGAAAAAATTGATTTTTCTAAAATAAATTCACCTGTTTCGAGGTCATTGTTTCTCTTTAATAATTAATTGATAAAAAGGAAACTAACTGTCTAATTAGCTATGATTTCTTGCATTTATTATTTAAAACTATAGCGACGGAATTAGGTTTAATGAGGCCGGAGTCAGGGTATAATTTTTAACAACAAGCATCTCCTCCATGGTGTACTAAAACCCTGGGTTTAAAAAGACAGCCCTTCGGGGTTTTTTTGCGGGGAAAATATAACGCTAATAATATAACCACTAAAAATATAACAACCAAAAATATAACTGACAACAATTTAACAGACCAAAAATATCACGCAACCAAAAAAATAACCTTTTTCGACCAAAAATATTATTTATTTCTATCTAAAAAAAAACTTTTTTTATAGCCAAAAAAAAACATTTTTAGCCAAAATGCAACTTTTTTTATCCAAAAATATAACCATTTTTTAGCTAAAAATATAGAAAAACTGAGTTTTTAACCAAAAACATAATATTTTTACCTTTAAATTTAACGTTTTTCTAAAAAAAAATAACTATTTTTTAACCAAAAATGTAACCANTTTTTTAGCCAACAATGTAATCTTTTTGGCCTAAAATATTACCATTTTTACCGAAAAAATAACTATTTTTTAACCAAAAATGTAACCATTTTAGACCGAAAAATGATTATATTTTAGCTATAAAAAGTTTATATTTTTAGATAAAAATAGTTATATTTTTGGCTATAAAAAGTTCATATTTTTAGATGAAAAATGTTTATTTTTTGGTTTAAAAAATGGTTATATTTTTGGTTTAAAAAATGGTTATATTTTTGGTTAAAAAAACGGTTATATTTTTTGGCTATAAAAAGAATATATTTTTAGCTAAGCAATGGTTATATTATTGATTCAAAAATGGTTATATAATTGGTTCAAAAATGGTTATATTTATGGTTAAAAAATAGTTATGTTTTTGATGGGAAAAATGGTTATGTTTTTAGTTAAAACTGGTTATTTTTTTTGTTAAAAACAGGTAATATTTTTGGCTAAAAAATGGTTATATTTTTGGTAAAAAAATGGTTATATTTTTGATTATTTTTGGTAGTTATATTTTATGTTATTAAAGTTATATTTTCCCCGCCCATTGTTTTTGGGTTGTTTAATTTTAAAGTAGTTTTAACCTACAAGGCTACAATAATATACTAAAAGAGATTTTTTTTGTCCCCAGAACATGATCGGGTTGTTACGATCAAATCTCGGAATTCTTTTTATTGCGAAAGTTTGGTGTTGTCTGGGTTTATATTGATCTACCAGGGGTTGTAATCTGTTTTTTATTGGGTTTTTATTTTTTAAAGTCTAAATCTATATAAAATGTAAATTGACTCTGAAATACATCATAAAAACATTAGGACACTAAAATGTAGAAAACCATATATGAAACACTTAAATGACCCTTAAATAACCCTAATATGACCCCAAAACGACACTTATCACAAACATACCTTAGCAGCTGCTTTAGCTTTACTAGCTCCTCCATCCAGACAATCTGAGAACTCATACAAACTCTGCCTGACAGGGTTACTGTAGGACACCTGTAATATTGTATTGTAGGACACCTGTAATATTGTACTGTAGGACACATGTAATATTGTACTGCATGGTACCTGTGATATTGTAGTGTAGGACACCTGTAATGTTGTACTGTATGACACATGTAATATTGTACTATAGAACACCTGTAATATTGTACTGTAGGACACCTGTAATATTGTACTGTAGGACACATGTAATATTGTACTGCATGGTACCTGTGATATTGTAGTGTAGGACACCTGTAATATTGTACTATAGAACACCTGTAATATTGTACTGTAGGACACCTGTAATAATGTACTGTAGGACACCTGTAATAATGTACTGTAGGACATCTGTAATATTGTATCTGCAGGACACCTGTAATATTGTACTGTAGGACATCTGTAATATTGTACTGTAGGACACCTGTAATATTGTACTGTAGGACACCTGTAATATTGTACTGTAAGACACCTGTAATATTGTACCGTAGGACACATGTAATATTGTACTGTAGGAAAAATGTAATATTGTACAGCATGAAACATTTAATATTGTACTGCATGGCACATGTAATATTGTACTGTAAGACACCTGTAATATAGTACTGTAGGACACATGTAATATAGTACTGCATGGCACCTGTAATATAGTAATGTAGGACACCTGTAATATAGTACTGTAGGACACATGTCACATTGTACAATAGGACACATTTTGTATTGTACTAAATGACACCTGTAATAAAGTATTGTAGAACACATGCCACATTGTAATGTATGACATATTTTATTTTGTACTCCATGACACCTGTAATATTGTACTCTAAGTGTATTGGGACTTATCTTGGCTCGCTTTAGAGGTTTTTGGACTTAAAACACCACACAAATAGTATGAACTTAAAAATTTTAAAACTGTATTCTATAAAAATTTGCTTTTATTAAGAGAAATTATAAAGGAAAAATCAAAGTTATAATGCAAGGAAAGTTAATTGCAGTTGCGTATACTCTGCGTACATATTGAAACCAGTTATCTCAGGGCGGAATTTGTAAACAAGAATAAATGCATCAGTGTTCGTTTATTATTCTAGGAGGTTAAAAGCATTAAATTTGATAATTTTTATAATTCACATTATGGTCAAAAACAAAACAAAAAATAGGGTCAAGAACAAGGTTGAAGAAGGTCAAACAACAAGGTTAAGATAAGAATATGGCCAAGACCAAAGTCAAGAACATGACTAAATACGAATTCAAGAAGAAGGCAAAGATCAAATACAAGTTGAAGTCAAGAATTAGATAAAGATAGAGATCAAGGTCAAGAAAGAAGTCAAAGTCAAGAACAAGATCAAGGTCGAAAACAAGGTTAAGGTAAAGAATAGGGCCAAGAACAAAGTCAAGAACAAAACTAAAAATCAAGTCCAACGTCAGAATCAAGAATGAGGTCAAGATCAAAGCCAAGGTCAAGATTAAGATTACAATCAAAGTCAAGTTCTAGTTCAAGGTCCAGATTAAGAATAAGATCAAGAATTCGGGGAAAGTCAAGATTAAGGTCTCAGTGCCAAAGTCATGAATAAGGTGAAGATCAAGAATAAGACCAAGAAGGAGGTCAACGACAAGAATAAGGTCAAGTTCACAAATTAGATCAAGATCAGGGTCCTGGGTCAAGGTCCAGATTAACCTCAAAGTCAAGTTCAAACTGAGAATGAAAGTTGAAAAATCAAGACCAAGGTAAAAAAAATACATTTACCTTGACTCGGCTATCTTTACTGGATCCATGGTTGCTCGCATGTTGACAAACCTAGATCAAATCAAATAAATAAAATAATAAACAACTAAAAAGAATAAAAAAGGGATAAAGTTGTCTGTCTTTCAAAAAAAATCCGTGGTGGGGGAAGGGGGAAGATATGAAAAAACTTTTAGTGCGTGGAAGGCGGTGACTTTGAAATGAGATCTGGTGGAGAGGTAAAAATGTGCTGGGAATAGGGGTTTAAATATGGAGGTTGGGGGGGGNGTATTTTTTCAATGAAGAAAATTAAATGGAATCTGTAAAGAACCCGAGCAAAAATAGAAACCTTCCTCCTCAGAAGACTGAGCAGTGCATCGATGAAACTAGTGAGATTAATGTGAATGAAAAAATACCTTTGCATTATCCACAAATGTAATATTCCTTGCTCCCCAGCCTAGTAAACCTCGAGCAACACCACACCCAAGGGTTCCTAAAAATAAAATAACGATGGCTGAATCGTTTGAACCAATTAGAAGTAGGAAAGCATATAGATAGAAACATGTAAGGAAACACTTTCCCCAAAACATTCTTATATTTTTGCCGAAAATTCTTTATTAACATGTTTAACTGGAACTTACCGAGGCCATGCACTGCTTAAAATATACTTAAACATCGTAGCACCTGTCATTCTCACTAGTAATATGCCGAGTAGCGACCATCTTAATTCAGTTCTGAGAGGGTCTGGCTCTACGCTGCTGAGAATGCATATACACTCTCATCTGACTGGAGCTACGATGAGTATTGTGTAAGTATATTTAAAACAGTGTTGTGTTGCGAGACTTAACTTTGATCTGAATGCACAATGACCACCGCACTAACCTGAGCCAAGCAGTAAGAATTTGGTTTGTTTTAAGATCTCTAAATCAAGATCAGGAACTAGTCTCCACTTCATCAGCTTCAAGTTCAGATCAACACTACAAAATCAACATCAAGAACAAGGTCAAGAAAAAGTCCAAGAACAAAGTTAAAAACATAATCATAAACAAGATCAATATTAAGATCAAAACAAGATCAAGAACAAGGTCAAGAACAATATTTAGAACTAGATCAAAAACAAAGTTAAGAACAAGGTCAAGAACAAGATCAAGAACAAAGTAAAGAAAAAGATCAAGAACAAGATCAAGAACAAGATCAAGAACAAGATCAAAAACAAGGTCAAGAAAAAGTACAAGATTAAGATCAAGAACAAGATCAAGAAAAAGATTAAGATCAAGAACAAGATCAAGATCAAGAACAAGATCAAGAACAGGATCATGAAAAAGGTCAAAGAACGAGATTAAGAACAAGGTCTAGAACAATATCAAGAACAAGATCAAGAACAAGATCAAGAACAAGATCAAGAACAAGATCAAGAACAAGATCAAAACAAGATCAAGATCAAGAACGAGACCAAGAACAAGATCAAGAATAAGATCAAGAACAAGATCAAGAACAAGATCAAGAACAAGATCAAGAACAAGATCAAGAACAAGATCAAGAACAAAATTAAGAACAAGATCAAGAACAAGATCAAGAACAAGATCAGGATCAAGAATAAGGTCAAGAACCAGATCCAGAACAAGATCAAGAACAAGATCAAGAACAAGATCAAGAACAAGGTCAAGAACCAGATCAAGAACAAGATAAAAACAAGGTCAAGAACAATATCAAAAACAAGGTCAAGAACAAGATAAAAAATAAGATCCAGAACGATGTCAAGAACATGGTCAAAAACAAAACAAAAAATAGGGTCAAGAACAAGGTTGAAGAAGGTCAAACAACAAGGTTAAGATAAGAATATGGCCAAGACCAAAGTCATCCCCCCCCAACAAGTTTGGGGATATCAAGACGGCCCACTTATAACCAAGACTTCCAACTACCTAATATCCTTTAACTCTGAACAATGTAACCGCATGAGTGGTCTGGATAAACTAAGTAGTGACTTCATGCTTGAATTCTTCTACCCTATCCTTTATAGTTTCCAGTTAAATGCAGCTTTAAAGAGACTTTTCAGGATTTTAGAAAGGTGGCATTGTATTACAAATTGCACAACACACAATGCAACCAAGGAACAAACACCAGGAAACTTTTCAGGTTTGTTTACAAATAAAGTGTACTGCAATTTGTGGGTCTTGTATGGATGCATTAGTTGAGAAAATATGCAAGGTCTAAAATGTTCAAAATACTTATTTTAAAAAATCGTCGCTTTTTAAACAAAGATGGTTTTAAACCGCACATCAATCAGTTTATCTCTTAAAACCGGATTTCTATGATTTTTTTACAATTTTCCTTAGACCGCTTTAAAACCTAGAACACTCCTATTAATAATTCAGCTAAACAGTGTGACGACACACCTATATATTACTATTACTATTCAAGTATGACTCAATCATAATAAATGTTTACAATTCTAACAACATCTACATTTTCCATCTTAAAATGTCATGAATGTTCAAAGAATTTCCACACGACCCCCGTGACCAACCCCAGCTTAAATAACTAATTAAAACATAAACTAATCTCTAGTTTAAGAATAAGATTATGTCCGGCCTCTAATTTAAACATAAACTAACCTCTAGTTTAAGAAGACTATGTTCGGCCTCTCGAAATAAAGGANTATGTCCAACGAGGCCGGAGATAAAAAATCGGAGCCGACGGAGGTCACTTTTCAGAGGTTCCAAGACTCCGGAAAGAGATATCGACAATCTGACTTCATATCCTGCTCCTAACAAATTATTTGAGTCTACGCTCAAAAATAGAACCGGCTGCTATGAATATTGAAAGAGATATTACAAAATGTCTTACTTGACACGGGTTCTTTCTAGACCGAGCGCTGTTCTATTAATTTTCACTTAAAATTAACCTTGCAGCAGCTTGAGTTTCACCTTACATAAACCGTAAAAATATATTTTGTTTTAAATCCACGAAACAAAAATTATTAAACGATAAACAACCATTGTTAAAGGGACTGCAGACGTTAAGTGATCCTCCGTTGTCTCTGTAGCAGAAATCCACAAGTAGCTTTCATGGGGAAATGACACCTTAATATTTGAGAATAACAAATTTTAAACTTAAAGGGTAACATTGTGAATCTGACATGCCATCCTTTATAGATGTAGGGTCACTTAAAAATAGGTCTCTGGTCCCTTTAAAAATTTAATTAATCGACCTTGTATTCGAAGCAGACAATGCAATAACCAAATTCCGCAAAGGCCATCCTTAAAAATAATCTAAATTTAATTTTAACTAATACAGTAGCAACAAAAAACAATGGAATATTTGTCGTCTTCATTACTTCTTTTTCTGTAAAATGTCTCTAATGATATGGTTATTTTTAACGGATTTATTGCTAAGATTGTCAATGTGCATTAACAATTTTTAGACACATATCTCACTGTCAGCAAGAAGAAGGACGACATTCATTCCACAATTTTCAGTTACTTCTGTAGCATGGAAGTTAAATATCTATAATATAATCTAAAGTTTCTACATTGGTTTCTACATAGACCTTTCTACAAAAATGTTAATACATCTGGTTTCCTTTAAGGAACTATAAGAGTGATCAGTTTTGACAAATATAAATATTACTATCTAATTCATACTTGAATAGACAACGCTTTTAAGGCAATCGTTGAAAATAGGACATTGTCATCTTTGCATGGAGGTTCACTGACAGTCCATTATACTTGCAACATTTTGGGGATTTCAATGAATTTCATTGAAACGATTATTTTTAGTCGATCAGTTATTTTTGAATTTACATAAAAGTCTACTGTAAACTTTTATTTTCTTTGGGAAAGATATTTCAACAAATAAAGGATTAAAATCCGCGAAAATATTGCTAGGGAAGAAAACAAAATCCTAACCTGGGTTTTCATCTCCACTGTTAGGATCTGCTACACAAATAAAATTTCTAAAAGGATATTAATAAGAATTAATCTGAATCCAATCTACTATTTACAAGTAGAATCAATTTTTAATACATTTTCTTTTTCATTGAAAAAAGGAGTGTGTCTCTGTTTAAGAGAAGGTCGAACTCAGAAGATGCATATTCAGGGGGGACTATGGGGGCACCTCCTTCCCCCTGGATCTATCTATGATTTCCAGGGGGTGCTGAACCCCGTCTTGAAACGTTTAAACTATTACTAATAAGAAATTGCATGTACGCCGAGGAGATTAAAAATTAGCCTAAACTGAATAAATTACAACGAGAACCAAAACAATGTGGAATAGAAAGACGACATTTTTATTACTGATGCGTATTTGATGTTGTTATAAAGAAAATAGTTTACTAGTAAATTATTAAATCACGTATTAATTTAAATGGGTCTGTAAACATTGCACAATAGCTGTGTCTTATGTTCATTGAACTATTTAAAGTCGTAACTTGAGTTAGAAAGTCGTCTTCTCATTTTTTTTGGTTCTCACTGTAGTTTTACCTAGCACTGTTAGAATCCTTGTTAAGATGTTGTAATTCAGAAAACTGTAAAAACGAGACTTTTTTCTCATTCTCGATCCTAGCCAGGTCATTTTTGAATAATGAATAATAACAAATAATTTTGAGGGCAATGTACATACACACCTGAACAGAAAACATTCTATCAATACCAGTAAATATGTAACTGTACATTTTATCGGAAGCTCACCCCCCCCCCCCCCNCCCATAAGATATGAATGTTTTTAGGGTATTATTCTAAAATTGGGGTAAATGAATGATTTTTTGTGGGGAATTAATGAATTTTTGGGTTTAAAGTATAAAAAATGAAAAAAACTTGCTTTTTGATGTCACACTTTAAATTTTTTCCCGCAAATCGTCAACAATCATAAAAAAAAATTTTTTTATTATATCGGGGCTTTATTCATCTTGTTGATTTTCTTAATATTCATAATTCAAATTACTGTTCCTTACAACTGAGTATAATGTGTTTGGATAATCTAATCAAATCAATCAATCATCAAACGCTTACAAAAATACCGCTATTTCTAGATGAAAAGTTTTTAAAATCAGCTTTTATTTTTATTCTGCCAACGTTAAAATTTTTCTTAAGTTCTTGAAAAATCAAAATGTCTGATTGAATACAAGAAAGTAACATATTTAACTACAGTTAAAAACAAAGATAGTCCAAAAATAGATTAAAAATAAATCCGGACAGGTATTAATAGTCCCTCTTAATGAAACGCTGATTCAAGATGTAGAGCTAAATACAACATCCCGATTTACATCTGTACCCTTTGTCTGATCAATTTAGATATTAATGTTCATAATTTTAAAGCGTATTATTTTCCATTTTGGATTCTCTACAAAAGTGATTTGCACATTTATAATCTATTTCAGTATCGGAATTTTAAGAATTAAACACGTTTAATCAAAAAAGACAAAATCCTCTACCTCGGGACGACCATATCTAGGACGATCATATAGAGGGTACCGTTGCGAATCAGGCATTGCCATCTTTTCATCACATGAAATTACACTTACAGTTCCTTTAAAGCCAGATTGATTGATTTCCTTTGTTAAACTGTGAGGATGCTGTTGCTATAGAACGGATCAGCTCTGCGGATAGAACTTCAGACACAGAAGAACAGGAACTTAACCTTTACAATCATATTGTTGCCCATAAATCTACCTTCAAATTCTATCCCCACGCAATGTCGTCCTTACCACCCCCTCATCTCAGAGAAATCCAAACCAAAGAATACTCCAGCATTACCTGAAACTCCGACGGAAGGAAAATATTGAACAGCGAAACGTTTTAACTCGTGAATACTTAAATCCGTCAATAATTCTGCAATCCATAGAAGTATTTCCAGAAGTATTATCCAAATGTTTTAAAATGACCCACCATCCATCACTCCTTAATTACCCACAAACACACCCAACAAGTAAGTTTCTTTTAATAAACAGTAAAACCATGTTACACCAATATTTGTTTTATTAAACAGCAAAAAATTTTACACCAATATTTATTTTATTTAACAGCAAATAATGTTACACCAATATTTGTTTTATTAAACAGCAAACAATTTTACACCAATATTTATTTTATTTAATAGCAAAGAATGTTACACCAATATTTATTTTATTTAATAGCAAAGAATGTTACACCAATATTT